TAAAAGATATATATAAATCAAAATGGCCATAATGGTACATGTATGGGTCCCTCTACGGGCAAAATTACTTACTCATTCTTTAACTTTCTGAATTCAGCAGTGGAAAATGATCAAAATGGGCGGCTAAAGACTTGGATTAATCAAAGGAGTAATTGTCGAGGTGATCATATAAATGTAAATATCAAACAAACCCCGAAATTCTGAATCCTCAAATCATTAATTTTTGTCTTCTATAAGCTTATCAGCCTCTCAATCCCAATGAACTTTTTCTCTAAAGAAGCTATACTTTCGTATTATTTGAAAAGCAAATTGAAATTGCGAATGCTACATAGTGTAATTCACAACTTCTTTTCAGAAAATTCGGCTGAAAGTCAAATTGACGGATATAATTAATTTAGCTGATGATCGAATGCGGTAAGCATAGTACTTTTATTGGATTGGTTTTATTACTCATTCCACAGTTCTATAAGTGCTTCAGAAGTTTTCTACCCGTTAAGTTTAGGATTTTGGGGGGGAAATCTTAACAGGCCGTCTGAAAAGCTGTTTTTTTTTTTGTGACAAACTATTTTTTTTTAAATTATTAAGAATTCTATCTGATTAAACTGCCCTTTAATTCTTGAAAAAATGATAATGAGTGTGAAATGGATGAAGGAAGGGAGAGAACTATGTAGAAAAAAGTAGAAGAAAAAAAAATGTACAACGAATAATGTCATAAAAAAGAGATAATGAAGTGAAAAAAGTTTAATGCTACCTTATATATATATATATATATATATCTTCTAAAACAAATAGAGTAAGATCAATTTATTTTATTTTAATCAGAGTAGTATATTTTCTTTCCACATTTTTCAGCTAAATTTTAATGTTTAATTATATAATGTATTGATGTGAAATTTCTTATTGTAGTCTCATGCAGGGTGGGTCAGATAATAAAAAGTACCATAGCCGAAGTGTGACTGCAACAATACCTATTATGCTTTGCATCCATCTGAAAAAATTCATAGTTCAAGTCTGTCCAATACTTTTTCAGATATTATTTAAATACTTTATTTTAATAATTTATTCAAACATGAAGTTGTGGCCCGAGAGAAAAATGTTGCGTCTGAAGCTATTTCTGCATCGTGTAAGTTGGGACTCCAGAGATGTTTGAAAGATTGAAGACGAGATTAATCTAAGCGTAAAAATCTTAATATAATTACAGCATTTTTGTATTACTGCCATCGGAAGTTAAAAGTGTTTTTCTTATAAAAAAAAAAACTTGTTATCAGCTTCTAATAATTCATCACCAAAATTTTCAGAAGTTATAGTAAACTGACACGTACAAAATGATGCACACCTAAACCTTACAGTTTCGCGACCAAAATTATCACGATCATGACCAAGTTGTCAGCATTATTTTAAAAAGTACATACAATGATAATGCTCCCCTATATTATTGTCACTGTGGTGCAGCCAACTATATTATTGTCACTCAAGACATCCAATTAGGCTAAACATTTAAGAGTTGGCTCTTTAAAATTGAGTAGAATGATTGTCATATAAAGCAAGTCTTGATATGTGCATAACTTCTACATTTTAAACAAATTTGTATTTTGTTTTGACATCAATCATCATCAAAAGGGAGTAATCTCTTATCCCGCAAAATAAAGTTAGACAGCATTCAAAGGTTTTGTTTAATAAATTCACGAGGTGCAGACTATTTATATGTTCATATACACAAAGAAGAATACTAAACTTATTATAGCAATAGGATTATGCCTTCTTTTAGGAACTTCAATGAGATCATAGAAAAGTAAGAAGCAATCAACTATTGGAGGCACAAGTTACTTGTGAGTCACAATGGCTAGTCTTTCTTTTACAGGACCTCGGCATTTCCAATTCAACACGTGTTTCTTTACAGTGACAATCAATTTCTTATCACGTTGTTGCAAATTAAGTTTCTCGAAATTGTACAGAGGATATTTGACTAAATTGCCATATTGTGCAGGAAAAGGTGCGAAATCCCTGTTGCATCAGCTCATTCATTGTCTCTACTTCTAAAGTTTTATGCATTTTTATTTTTTATCAAACATTTCGCTCCTAGCTCATGTCATACATCCTCTACTTCATGTTTGGAACGCTTGATATATATATATATATATATATTCCAGCTTGTGGGTTAGCAATTTATTTAGCTAGTTAATTTCTGCGAATCGGTGCAGTAGCTAAGTTCAACTACCTGACCTTTATGCATTAATAGATTTTCTTGCATTTCTCTCAACGTTTTTCTTTAAAATAAGCAGTTTTGAAGTTCATGATGATTTAAAATTTTTTTAAATCATTTCAAAGTTATAACTTCATTTTACTCTTTAAAGTAAACCTCTCATTTTAGATAAATTAAATCCCTTCTATGATAAATGGAATGTGGCATAAAAAATTTATTTACATACAATTTTTTATTCTTAAATGCAGTTTTACCTCCAATTTACTTTAGGTTCACATATTATAGAATTTTAGTTTTTGATTCCTATAATTTTACTTCGGTTTTAGTTCCCACCACTTGCAATTTTCAACTTGCAAGCAAAACCTTCAATGGAAAAGCAAATTTTTCCCAACCCCCTTTGATTTTAGAAGTTCTGGTATAATGTCACCATGGTTAAAGGAAGAAACTAGTCTCACAAGGCTTCTGTACTGTTTTGTTTTCGGGTTGAAACTTTAATAGACTTGTTTTTCAATTGGGCAACCCAAGGAGTGAGTGCACTATCATCCGTCGTTGGGCCTTCTCTGCTATGGTTTTTATTTATCTGTAGTTAATCCCAAATGGAAAAAAGAGCTTGTCCTAACACTGCGCAGAGTCACATAATTAAAAACATTGGGCCAACATGTAAAATTTCTCGATATACCCCAAAAAAGCAAACACCATTTGCATTACGCGTCAGAAGACAGTAAAGTTCCGTGGGATATTGGCGTGTTGCACTCTCAATTATTGAAGAGATTACGACAAAGACGATGAGAGAGACCACGGGACGCGCGGCATAGCGGTGGGGCGACAACATGACAATGATATCTCGGACTCATGCCAGAACTGCATAACATGCCCAACTTTTTCTATTTCCAGGATCTGAATCTGAAACCCCTTGTCGTTTTTGTCAAAATACAATTCATTCAAATGTATAAGAATCTCTCAATACCAAATATTTTAATTATGTTCAGTTATTTCATTACAAAGAAAATATAAACTATACAGCTATTGCCAAATTTGCTAAAAACAAAATGCAGTTGGTGTAAAAACAAATTTGATTTTATACATCAATCCTTTAATCTAAATAAATATATTTTATACAACTGAAATTATTTTTGTCATCCCTTTTAATTAACAAATAAACTTTTAGAAAACATGATATGAAAAATTATACGGAATTACATATAATATCGATCATTTGATATTATTTTGCTAACAATAATTTAATCAGCGTAACAAAACAAAATATGCTATGCTTTTCAGAGTGGGTTCGTCTTCTTGACCAAAAACATTAAAGTACCTTTGAAATCACTTCATCTGCAATAATAAATTAGGGTTTCTTATTTTAAACAATATTTGACCTAATGATTTCCCACGTAACCCAGCATCGCGATGCATAATAAAAGATTGGTAGATGCAACTTTGGAAAAGTGTATCACTTTTATGCTATCCACATATCAGATCCACAGACACTGTCCGCAGCAGTAGCTGACAAATCTCAATTATTTTAGGAGTTAAATTAGGTTTATTTTATATCACACGAGTTAAGATTGATTGTTTAAAGCCAGCCAAAATTTTCGTGTCTTTTGTACCTCGATCGACGGATGAATCATGAAACTTTGTCTAAAACGATAGTATTATATTACTTATTTTGGTATTACAACTTGAAAAATAAAAATTATAGAATAAGTAATTAAAATTTATAAACTAATAAACGAATATTTTGAAAAATTTTCAGATTTATAAAAACTTATAAGGTAAGTAATAAAAGGTTATTCAATCTGTAAATTTTGTTGTGTCCAAGTTTGAGTTTTTCATACACTCCTAATAAAACCTAAAAGGACATTTGTTCTATATATATAAAAAAAGCTGAACCAAACATCAATTTATAAATAATAATACTATTTTTTTTTTTAAGTGAAGGAAGAACAAATAATTATTAATACTATGTCTGATGGGACACGAAGACACGTGGCGGAAGATTATTGATGCAATGAGATCCCACACAGATTCAGCTAAGATTCTTATCAGGCCCTTCTACTTTGGCCTTTTTATTTATTTTTCTTTTTAGCAAAAGACAGTTCTACTGTAACCGTACATAAATTCATGAGAGAGAAAAAGGAGAGGTGCGTCTAATATATATATTTATTTTTTTTTCTCCTCAAAGGTATTATTTAGATTATAGTTAGAAACTAATATTTTTTTATGTGAAACTATTAAAAATTATCCCTTTTAACGATTTATTTGTACATACTATAAAAAATAAAAAGTTAATGAACACACTTTATTCTTTTTTTTTTCAATCTCTCTCTTCACTAATTTGGTTTATTACACACACTTTATTACAATCACTGTTTCTAACAACTCATAACTTCTGATTTATTTTTTTAAAATAATAAAATATTATAAAATTTAATAGACTTATAATATTAAATATTATATTTTATTTTTTTAATGCGTGTCATTAAACACGAGTTTACATCGCTAAACAAATGCAGTTGTGTTGAGAAAAACCTTGCCTTCATAGTAATTTTACTTAACATGAAGAGAATTGCTTCCATTCAAAAATACTTTTAGTTAAAAGAAAAAGCAAAAATTATTAAAACACATACACATAAAATAAATAATAAAACAAAAAGACAATATTATTGTTTGAATGATTTAAATAATGAAACTCTTAATTTATATTAGTGAAATAAATAAATTATTCACAAATGAAGGGCGAAGTTGAGTGTTGGAGAACCCGAGAAGCGGGTGTATATAAACGGAGGCGAAGGTGGAGTCATAGAGAAAGCAGGCAGAGAGGAAAAAGGGGAGAGTGAGGGTAATGCAGCAGAGAGGAAGAGCGAACAACCGTAGATCCAGGAGTTTCACAAGGTCTCGTCTCGCTATTGAAGGAAGTTAAGCCAACGCTTGTTTTTCATTTTTCTTCTCTCTGCAACCCAACCAAACCATTTTTCGTCATGGCTTCAGGTTTGCCTTCTTTTTCCTTCTTCCATTTCTATTTCAACCTGCATTAGATTCAATTGAATTGTTCTTTTGCAGAATCGGATGAGCGTTCCGTTCAGAAATCTTATTGGATTCAGCATTCCGCTGATCTGTCCGTCGAGGCAATGATGCTCGATTCCAAAGCCGCTGATCTCGACAAGGAAGAGAGACCTGAGGTCGCATCTTCATTTCCATTTTCACTCGCTTCGCTCCCTTCTTTTTCTTCGAATTGCATCCTTAGCTTTTCTCTGCTTTAATGAATATACCAATGCATCTCGTCTCGTGTTTTTTTTTCTTTCTAACGTAATAGATCCGGTATCCGCTACATAATCCGGTATCCCTTTTCACTGCATTAGATCCCATCCATTAAAATTATGTCAAGATAATTTTAAATTTTATTAAATAATATATTTTAATGGTTAGATTTAAAACTGCGAAGAAATTACACTCGAGAAGAAGGTTTTGTAAGCTGAGATAGAAAGAGGGTGTCACATTTTTCTTTCACAAATGTCGTGCGACCTGAAAAATTCATGCTTTTTTCTCCCTCTCTTAATCGACCATCCAATAAATGGAGATGGCTTTTTTTTTTTTTTCCATCAAATTGATATTGGATGTCAATCATATTTTTAAATTTTTAAAATAAATAAATTAGAGTAAATCATTACTTTAGCCTCTTACTTATTCTTTTCAGTTTCATTCTTAATTTAATAATACTTGATTTTAGTCATTAACTTGTTTAAATAAATTTTCAAATTAGTTCTTACAACCGGCCAACATTAATAAGAATCAACAGAATCATGTATCTGGCACGTAAAATTCAACTTAACACATCAAGTGACATGTCATATTCTAAAGGCATCGCGTGATTCTTAAGAGGGTAATTATTAAAATTTATGTTTAAATTCACCCCCTTCACAGAATTCTAAAGTTGTTATTTTCTTCTACATTTCCCTGAATCTCCATTGATATCTATTGTCAAGCCTCCAGTATTGTCGTCATTGATAGTTAACATGCTAAATTGACATTTAATGTACCACCTGAACATATTTGTTAAATGCTATTACATTTACTAATGACAGGGACTAATGTTACAGATTTTTCAATAATTTAGAGACTAAAATGAAATCATTATTAAGTCAGGGACAATACTAAAAAAAGGTTACAGAGTTAGGGATTCAAGTAGTAATTTACTCAGATAAATTAGTTATCTTGGCTCTCTGATTGTTTTACCTACTTCATAAAATTGTCACTGAAATTATTTTCTTATTACACGTGCGTTCTAACATCTCTGATTTGAAAGTTGCTGCTGTTGTAATCTTGGGTTAGTATATAGATTCTTGTATGTGTTCCACTGGTGTATGCATATATTAATATATACGGGAGGATCTATTTTTTTTTCACACTGCTGTAAGACTTTATATTCTTTGACCAACCAATAACTTTGTATAGTAAGTAATTTCTATTGATCTAATTGAAAATTTTAACTATTTATTGCGTTGATCATTTGAGTAACATTTTGAGAAATTGAACATCAATATGATTGTAATTAAATGGCTCATATTTACATATATTTGGAAGTATGTTTTTCTATAGTTTGGATGTGATAAATAAAGTACATAGCTGTTTTGGATCAATCTGAACATTTATTAGTATGATATATACTATAGGAACTTGAGTCAAACTATGGATTTTGTATATAAGCTATCTAATCAAAAGCTGTTTAATGATATGAGGGTGGTTTTAATAAACAACAGTGTCAATTAATCTATTCCCTTAATACTTTATATGTGTATGTGGTAACCTTAAGTTATAGTTTGACTAAATTTCTTAACAGTGTTTTTCTTTCCTTGAAAGATAATTATAAATGTGAAAAATGTTCAATTATGTTCACCTTCAACTTGAATTGTATAAGATTTGATTAGGAAGATCTGTTGGCTCTAACAAAAAGAGTGGTCGTTCAAATATGCAGAGCACTTGTTATACCCAGTATATTCTTTGTTGTATACCGATATACTTTACGTTAACACACTACTGTAGTATTGTGTTGTGTCTTTCCCCCATGTTGAAAATCTTCACCTTGCAGTGTAGAGTTCTATTTTTGTCTTTTCAGGAAAAGTGGCCTCTCCTCTAGCACATCTTTAGTTTAGATCCATCCTTTTCACATTAGTAAATTTTTTCCTTGATATTCCATGCAGCAAAAGAGGATTGCAATTTTCTTTATGTATCCTTCTTAGTATATTTTATCTTTCTTCTCCCCCTCCCCCTCAAATCCTTTTCTTTCTTTCTTTTGGCAGAGTCAGTGCTTTTGCAACTCATCAATTCTATTTTTATTTACACAGGTGCTTTCCCTATTACCAGCATATGAAGGAAAATCGGTTATTGAGCTTGGAGCAGGTATTGGAAGATTTACTGGTGAATTGGCTGAGAAAGCTGGTCAGTTGCTTGCTGTAGACTTCATTGAGAGTGCAATCAAGAAGGTCTTGCAATGTTTTGTCATTGTGATAATTAATATGGTTAATGCATTACAATTTAATACACACACATATAGTGAAGTTACCTGAATCACTCATCATCTCTATGATTTGCAGAATGAAAGCATCAATGGACACCACAAGAATGTCAAATTTTTGTGTGCAGATGTTACATCTCCAAACTTGCATATTTCTGAAGGATCAATTGATGTGATTTTCTCAAATTGGTTACTTATGTATCTTTCAGATAACGAGGTCAGTTTTGTTTATGTTAGTGAGTACAATTTTTCTAAATTTTCATGATTTTGTTTTCAATTTGGACCTGCTGAAGTTACCCTCTCCTAACCCTTGATGCTTCAGGTTGAGAATTTAGCTGAAAGGATGATGAAATGGTTGAAAGATGGTGGATATATATTCTTCAGAGAATCTTGTTTCCACCAATCTGGAGATTCCAAGAGAAAATACAACCCTACACACTACCGAGAACCCAGATTTTACACCAAGGTTTGTTCTTTGAAGTGTAGTTACATCTCTCCCGAAGTCTGTGCCAAATAATTGTTTGATTGAAAATGAGATTGACATCAACTTTGGGCTCATTTGGAGTGTATGATTTCTATTTTATGGAGATAGAACCTTTAGATTAAATAAAGCATCTTAAAAGCATAATTGAACCATTTAATGGGAGTGCTTTTGTGATTGTAATATAGACCAAAGGTCATGAGTTACTCTCCGAAATTTTAGGTCATGTTTGGTTTGCGGAAATATTTTCTGTTTTCATTTTCATTTTTCACTTTTAATTACAAAACTGACACTTTGTTTTCATTTTGTTTCATGTTTTCTAAGATTTGTATAGGAAACAGTGGAAACATAAAAAAGTTGTTTTCAATGTTTCCTGTACTAATATTTAAAAACAGAAAACAGAATGAAAATAGAAAATGAAAACAGAAAACAGAAAACATTTCCTGAAACCAAACAGCCCCTTAGTTAGTTTCTTTGTCTCATGTTAAATTCATTTCAAATTAAATTTTCTTTCTGAAAATGTTTGGGAAGTGTAAAAGTACTCACTGGATTACAAGTGCTGAGTTGTTGTAAGTAATCATAGTTCAGTTTACTTCCTAGAGATTTTTTTATAGAAAAATAAAATAAAATATAGTTGCACATGCTAGCAACTTAATTGAGCTGGGCTGCAAAAAAGTCTTTGATGCCTTATGTTGAAGTTTCATGATTTTGCTGTTCTAACTTCTAAGTACACATGACGTTGATGAAGTGCTGTCTGTAATTTACAGTGCAAACAACCTTGTCTAAAACTTTGCTTTGATGCCTTTGATCTGTCAACAACCCCCCCCCCCTTTTTTTTTTCAATCAGGTATTTAAAGAGTCCAATATGAGTGATGATACTGCGAACTCCTTTGAACTTTCTCTTGTGGGCTGTAAATGCATTGGAGCTTATGTCCGAAATAAGAAGAATCAAAACCAAGTAACAAAAATTGTTTCCATTTATGTTAATTCTAATCTCCAATTTCTGCTTATCCAATTGACTGACTATATATGTGTACAATAATGTCTGTTTCTCAGATTTGCTGGATATGGCAGAAGGTTAGGTCACAAGATGATAGGGGTTTCCAGAAGTTCTTAGATAGAGTTGAATATAGCCATAAGAGTATTTTACGATATGAGGGGATTTATGGCCCAGGCTTTGTGAGCACTGGTGGACTTGGTATGCCTTCATATTTTCCTTCCTTCTTATATTATAGTTATATCTTGCTATCACATAGATCTTTCCTTTTTCTTAGAATTGGCATGGGAGGATTTTACCCACCATACATAATTGGCTGACTTGGTATGTAGTGATTCGTTACTCCATTACTACAAGGTCTTATGAGTTACACCTCTCTTGCCTAGGAACATGGTGTTAGATTGGTTTTGGATTTGTAAAAGCAAGCATAGTATGTGCAAGAAAGAGATTAGCCAATATTTCCTACCTTTTCGTTCTGAATAAGTAGTTCCTTTGGTCAGTGGTGGAGGATTTTGGTGACTGGGACAGCTCTACATTTTTTTTAGTTTTAAATTTGGGCTATTTCATAAACTTTTGCAAAGTGGCATTTCATCACTCCCTTAATTTAATATAATTTACATTTAATCTAAATTTTTATGGGAATATGTAATTCTACACCTTTGTTACTTCCTTCAATCGTCATTAACATATTAGTTGATATTTATATGTTTTATTGCTTTTGCCCATAGTATATGAGTATTGTTTTTTTCTAGTCAAACTTGTTTCCCACCGTTCTTTGTCCCTTAATATTATTCTAATTAAGATAATATTACCTTGTTCTTATTTATCTGTCTAATAAGAGAAGGCTTTTGTTCCTAATTATTTCTATTTTTCCACTAGTGCCCTTTTTTTATTTAAATATTTATATATTTGAGTAGTTTAAGAGTAAAAAAGAAATCCATTAATAAAGGATAAATAAATAAGTTTACCAATTAGTTCTAACAAAATGATTAGGTTTTTTAGTCTATAATTTTTTCTCTGGACAGAAATAAAAATAGAGGCAGTATATATTGTTGTTAGACTGCTTAATATGTTGTACCATTTTCGGGAATTTTTTCTTTATACTTTGAAGTCTTTATTGTACTGGTCAGAATATGTAAGGTTATGTGCTGTGTGTTCAGCATAGTTGTCTTTTGTGTTTCTAACTTACGATGAGTTGCTTATTGCTTGGGTAGAAACGACAAAGGAATTTGTGGCAAAGCTGGGACTACAGCCTGGTCAGAAAGTTCTTGATGTTGGTTGTGGTGTTGGGGGAGGTGACTTCTACATGGCTAAAAATTTTGATGTTGAGGTCGTTGGCATTGACCTCTCCATAAATATGATTTCTCTTGCTATTGAACGTGCTATTGGACTGAAATATGCTGTTGAATTTGCTTGTGAGGATTGCTGTAAAAAAACATATCCTGAGAATACATTTGATGTGATCTACAGTCGTGATGCCATGTTACACATCAAAGTAAGGAACTATCCTTCTAATTGTGTAAAGATTAATAGCATTGAAAGGATAGTAGGTGTATGCCACTGAAAGTATCTAGGTTATTTATTTGAAGTACCATGAAATACCCTATCAAATGTGATGTGCTGAGAAGAAACAAACATTACTCTGGATCAATGCAGGATAAACCAACATTATTTAGATCATTTTACAAGTGGTTGAAGCCTGGAGGCAAGCTTCTAATTACAGATTACTGCAAAAGTGCTGGAAGTCCATCTTCAGAATTTGCTGAGTACATAAAAAAAGGAGGATATTATATACATGACACGAAAGCGTATAGGCAGGTATGGTGCCTTTGCTATTAGTGACATCATCTTGCTTCTCTTTCACCCTTTGGTTTCAACCGAAATTGTACGAGTTAACATTTCTTTTGCTTGACAACATCCTTGTATTCTAAATCATCTACAGATGCTCGAGGATGCTGGATTTGATGATGTCATTGCTGAGGATCGAACAGATCAGGTTTGTCTGACCGTATGTTATACCTTGCTTGGTATTTTTGCATTTTTGTGGTTCGAAAGTTCAAATAACTTTATTACTTGTGTGGTTTAGTTCGTTAAAACACTACAGCGGGAGTTAAGTGCCCTTGAGAACAAGAAGGACGATTTTATTGATGACTTCGGCGAGGTAGGTTTCTCATGTTTTTAAGATGATTTACTGATGTTTATTTTAAGGAATTGGTTTCTCTTTAAGCTAAAAGCACTGCCTGCTGGATTCATTGCTTTCAGGAAGATTACAATGAAATTGTCGAAAGATGGATAGCAAAGAAGAGAAGGGGTGTGTCTAGAGAGCAAATGTGGGGCTTGTTCGTGGCCAGTAAAAAATGACATGCTTTATTGTTATCATATATGCCTTCCGCTAGCTATATTTTGTCCCGTGTGACCGGACTTTGCCATTTAATTGTTTGAATAATTATCTATTTATTTATGTTGGATTAAAATTTATCGCTTTCAAATAGGATGATATCTCAGGAGAATGCTCTTCGATTGTAGCTTCTTAACTTGGCATTGTATTATGGCTTCGCGCCAAAAAATAATTTAAATGTCTTTTGTTTTTGTTAAACACAGTTTGTCAGTTTGCCAATATCAATTGTTCTTCTCATTTGGAACATTGAGAAGAAAGCTCTTCGTCCTTTTCCTGCCTTCTGTTAGAAAAACTTTAAGGATTCGAGTCACTTTTTCATTTCTTCCTTTCTTTTCTCCCCTTAACCAATTTCATGGCAGTGTCCTCTTGTAGGCTTTTAAAATGTGCTAACTGGATTGTGCTTCCAAAAAATTAAATTCTTGTTAGCGCAAGAACGACTTGGTCCCATTGTTTATTAAATGCGCCGTAAACTTTCAATTTGGAAAATTAACAGTTTTCACTGGGAATATATTCCACTGAAATCAGTGGAAGAACACATGAGTAATGCTATTTATGACAAATAGTGGGTTACGAAGTTTAACCAGTGGAAGTGTTGGATTAGTTCCAACGGTGGGAAAATGAGGATGGCCGCGGGGACATAGTCAATGGTTTTCCGTCAAGGTCTTCAGTGGAAAATCTTTACTACGTTTTGATGTGTTTGATACAAAGGCTCGTTCATCAAGTATAGGGAGTATATTACTTTAAAATATTGTCACTAATCACGTCTTTAATGCACCGATTAAAGAAATAATAAATAACAAAATTTTATTAAAAATAATGTTGAGATACCTTAAGGTTTAAAATATATATTTACTTTTAAACTTCAAAATGTTAAGGGAGAAAGTGAATACACCAGCATAGTGTACATGTTTATTTTAAAATTTGGAAGTGTTAAAATACGGTTGATTTACTTTGGATATACTTGGTTTTTATGATTCGCATTGGTTTTTTTTTTTTATATTTTAAAAAATATTAATTAGAATTTTACTAGTTGTGAAGTTTGAATTTAGTGTCTTAAGTGTGAATGGTGTAATTTAAAGGGTATAATACGGTCATAATTATTGATTAAAAGAGACATTATTTCAATTTAACAAAATCATAACTTTTATTTCACCAATGCACATTTATGAATAAACTCAAAAGTAAAATAGCACCCAAAATATATGTACAAACAATTATATTATATATTATATTCCCCTAAAAATAATTGATTAGATTACATTTGATGACATTTTTGTTATTTATATTAGTTAAATAAAATTATATGTTAAAAATATCTTTAATAAAATTTTATATTTTATATTAATTATTATAAAATAAATATTAAAATAAAATCTAAAATAATGTTTATTGCGGTATCAATAAATTTAAAAAAGTATTTTATACTTCTTTATATAAATAGTTGTAATTTCTTTATTATTTTATAAATTATAAAATATTAAATTTTTTTAAAATTAAATTATTAACTTTATTAATATAAAATTAATAATAATTATTATTATTTCTCTCGTAAAAGTGTAAAAGAAGGTAAGTTAAATTTTATCATCCAAAATTTAGTCGAGAGAATACCGTGAACATAGGGAGAGGGGGAATGTATTCGGTGCGAACGAGTTCTTATACCTGAGAGCAAGGGGATTGAATATCAACCATCAGTTTCAAATAAATGATTGAGATTAAAATACACTTTTAATCACTCACGTGACTCACTAACAAACTTTCCCAAAACTTCTGTCTTCACTCTTCATCCACAAAACCCTAGGCCAGCACGCGCTCTCTGCTGTGGTTTTGGGCGGTGGCTAACAGGGCGTATAGTGGAACCGCTGGTGGTTGAGAACTTCGTAGTTTGTACAGTTGTAATTTTATTTTATATTAATATGGATATTATACTTCGGAGGAGAGGATTTAAATTGATTTGCTTTGACTAAAATCAAAACCTTAATTGAGAAATAGAGAGAATGGGAATGGGGGATGATTACAAGTTTTTGCGACTTCGAGATGCGTATTCATCTATCAACCAGAAAGTTAACATGATTGCCGTCATTCTTGAGTTCGGCTTCCCAAGGCCAACTAGAGGCACTGGTAATTTTCGACTTTCCCTATTTTTTTTATTTTATTTTTTTCATTTCAACTCTCGAAGTTTGGATTTTTCCGAGTTTCACTGGCAATGATGATTAAAAGGCCGGGCTTACGGCTGCCATTTACTTCCTTGGTAGTAGATTGATGAATATTTTCGTGAAAGTGTGTTCTGAGCCAGTTTCACTCCTTATTTCATTTACATTTTATTTTTTTAACAATGTTGACATGTTTCTTATCATGATCTTCTGTCTTTATGGGTACTAATTTTAATGAACACTTAATGTTCAGAGGTATGTTTTTTACTTTTGGCTTGAGGTCTCTCCTAGTTATAGGCGTGTATTATCTTCTGCTACTGTTGCTAATCCTGTATAAATAACTTTGTGCAGATTACTGCTGTTCCGTACGAATAATTGATGAAACACATCATGAAACCGGCATGGCTGTTAACATTTTTGCTGAAAATGCTGAAAGACTTCCTCATGTTGCTGCTGCTGGGGATGTAATTCAGCTTTGTCATGTTGCGGTATTAGTTGATAGTAATCTCTTTATGTAGAGATGTGTTTTGCTGTGGTTTCCTGTTTTGGTGGTTCTAAAATATATCATTTGGTCCTGTACATTATAAAGATTAAAGAGGCTTTAACGTTGATCACTTGATTTATATGCACATTTATTTCATAATTCTGTATAAAACTGAAAATTCATTGAATGCCAGCTCTATGTTCATTTGCTTCCTGCTCTGCAAATTGAATGGAAATAAACTTTGTCTAGTGTAGATAAACTAAACTTGTGTCTTTTTTCTTTGAAATTCTTTCTTTTATCTATTGTAGGTAAAAGCACATGGTGGGGAAGTAAATGCCGTTTTCAACAAAAAATTCTCCTCTTTTGCTTTATATAAAGGGGAAGATGGTGATGATTTTGCCCCATATCAAGTTTCTTCTAAATTTCACCCCAGAGATGAGGACAAGGGGTTCATAGATAAGCTTAGAAAATGGCTGGTCAATCTTCGGCTTCAGGATGGTATTCTATGACTTCTGTTCTGATATAACTTGTATTCACTTTATTTATCTTTAATTATGTAGTCTAGTCTAAACTTAATTGGCACATGCATACATACACACAGTTGTAACTTGTGGTAGAAAGAACTTGATCAGTGTATAATCTTGTGTTACTATTCAATAACTATTCTTGAATTAATTATGAAGCCTTTGCCTTAGACGTTGCCTAAAGTGTTCATTATGAAATCTGAATCCTTGGTATGAACAAGGAATTGAACTGAAGAGAAACGTTTTTGAGGTAGGTTGCGTTCTGCCTTGGCCTGTAGGATGGCTTGGTGGTGGGTAATACTTGCTTGTCAGGCAATGCTACTTTGAGCTGGGCTGCTTTTGGCAGGATTAAGTTGATGTTTATTATAAAGTAATTAGTATTTAATTAAGGTGTTTAGCATGTGTTTATGAATTTGTTTTGCTGATTAGCTTGATCAAGAATTATCTCTAATGGAATCAATGTATGTTTGATCGTTTTCTAATTAAGTGGTTCTGTAGTTTTTGGTTTATTGTCGACTTCATCATCTAGTTTGCTACTTTGATCCTAAGTTTCGATGTCTGTAGATCCGAGTAATTTTCCTATGTTAGGAGAAATCAAGGAAGGAAATCACATCAATTTGGCATGCAAGGTAATTCAGCTGTGTTTTAGTTCTAATATTTTGCATGATTGAGTTTTAAAGATCAATAATTTCAATATATGAGCTTTTTAAGTCTTACATTTTAGTTGTTACATTTGAAGATGTTGATCCTTGTGCTGATCCTCCTTCAAATGCTTACTTTCTTTTGCACTATAAGATACTTCATTGCTGCGGGGCTGCAAAAGATCAATGGTTTATGTATGCTTGGGATGGTAGTGATACCCCACCAAATGCCATATGGTCAAAGTGAGTTGATACAAATTTACTTTTCCATTGTGAGTTCATTTCCTTTTCCCCAAATATACATGCTGAATTTGGATAGAATTGTGATCAAGTCTCTTGCAGAAAATTTCTTTTAACTGAAGCAATGATATTTTCTAGTACTCACCAGTAACTTGACGAATGCACAAAAATGTCATAATGGTTATTGGCGATTTAGTGATCTCTATACAGAAAAATAAATGACAACCTTTTTCTTCCCTCTGATTATGCAATTTATCTTCTCCAATCCTCTCCTCTTTTGTTCTAGGCTGACTGGGAAATGTAGTTTTTACAGATGTTTAAGAGGAAATGACCTACCAAGAATTCTGTTGGATAAAGGGTGTGTTTAGCAAAACTAACAGATAATTTAATTGAAAACTGAAATTCTAGGTGAACTGAAAAGCTAGCTATAAGTTTAAAGATGGAATAGAAAACTTATGTTTGATACAGAACCGAAAAGCTAGCTATAGGTTAAAAAATGACAACTTTTATTTGACTTGAAGGGTGAAACCAAGCTGAACAGAACAAAACTAATCCAACTCTGTTTGTCTGCCAAAGGCTACCTTATAACTGTCCATCTTTAGATTGGATTAATGCTTATTTCACTTAATTGTCTTTGAGCTATTTGGTTTAGATTCCTCACCATATAGAATCACGTTTGAGGCAAAGTATTTCCTTCAATGTTGTGCATTGTGTAGCATAAAAGTGGAAAGAATCCTCATTCGAGTTTCCTGTCATATGAAGAGAGAAACATGGACCTTAAACAGGGCCCCTGGCCTGCTTTGGATGAGATTGATTTAAACTCCCAAGAACTGAATATAATGAAATGACTCATTGCTTTCTTGTCAACAGCAACTAAGCCTTATCTCACTATCATAACTTACTTGTCCAGTGAGTAAAACTGATTTTGGGTGTAAAGTAGGTGATTTTGAGGAAAATTCTTATGATTAACTCTATAAAATAAACTCTTAACAATTTGGGATCATCAATGTCTCAAAATTATCCTTACATTTATGTCTTTAATCTAAATCCCAAGCAGGAAACCTGATTATAATAAGATTTCGCAAGGTTAGGATATTGACATAAAGATGAGCATAGAAGGCTCTTGTTAGTGTAGTAGAATATTTGATGCAGCGCGTTTGTATGATCATTTGTTATATGGACATAATGGGCAACACATTGATCCTTTGCTAGTAGGTCCTTAATTTTTTGTTCTAGCCTCTAGGTAATCATTAGACTTGATGCCAATGGACATCTAGTTTTATGCTTGTATATAATATTTTAATTTACAAAATTACAGTAGTATCTTAATAGAAAATTTATTTACTTGTTTTGGAAGTGCAGGCTAGAAGATGAAATTAATGATTCGCTCCCATTACAACTGGAACCTTTGTCTCTGCCAAGGGATTTATTATGTACTTTTCCTACTGTTGGATCCATCTTGAGGATAACTTTTGATTTAGGTATTGAGAACAATCATTTCCACCTTCTAAACGTTGGTAAATGGGTCAAGTTTGTCAATATACGTCTTGAGGTGCATTCTGGACTGTGGCGTGGTGTTTTTACCTCTTTTACGAAGCTTCGATATACATCTAATGAGGACTGTCTCATTGGAGAACGCCAAAGGTGTTTGCTAGTTTAGTTGACTCACAACAATATGGTTTGGTGGATGTATTAGATCAGTGAACTGATATATTTGTCTTATGTTCTAGATTGTCTGATGAGCGGATATCCTTGAAATCTAGAAGAATACCTTCTTGCAGCTTCTCTGTGCCGTCATGTATTACAGGTATTTCACACATATTGCACTAATATTGGTCTCTGATTATTGAAAATTATAAATTTAAGCTTTTCTTACGAGATAACACTGCATTATCCTTGCAGAGGTTAATCATGATCTTGCAACACCTGTTACTTTAATGGATGTCCTCACTCATTCAGAGGTACTATACTTCATTTCCTTCACTTGTGCCCACACTCCTCTCTAAACTCCTATTAATTTTAGGTGCATTTGGATAAACAGTTTAAATGCTTATTCAATAAGCTTTTTTTCACACGGGAGTTCATGACCTTATTTGATCATGAAAATAAGCTTAAAAAACTTATTTTGATAAATTGTATTAAGTTTATTGAAATAAAACTTAAAAAGCTTATGAGAATCACAAGTTCTTTTCGTAAGCTTTCTATAAGTTCTTCTAAGTGCTCCTTACATCTGTCAACATCACTAATACTTTTAATTTTGATGACTCAATTCATGTGTTGAAGGTGACAGCTAAATTCAAGTGCCTTGTTCGTGTGGTAGCAGCAATGCCATGCCAAGCAGACAGTCTCTGCTCTCCTGCTGGGATATACAGAATGCGGCTAACCCTAGAGGATCCAACAGCGAGGATCCATGCTTTTGTAGTTGCTGAGGATGGGGTCAGAACAAATTTTTACTTTCCTCCGTTTAATTTGCTGTTTTTGGCACCAATTACTATATGCACGTATAGCTTTTACTCAATGTTCCATTCTACCATTACTAGAATTTTGCCTTATTATTTTATATGTTGTTTATTTGTTGTCAGCATTATGCTTGGCTGATCCTTTTTCTGTTGATACATGACAGGAGACCCTTTTTGATGGTTATCCAGGCATTTACAAGTTGACAATGAAGCTTAACAGATTGCTTGGAGTAGCTGAATGTGATGATAGTACTGGGGTGAAGGATACTCCAAGAAATCCACCATGGGTTTTTATTTGTCTCAAGTCATACTATATCTCAAAAACCGAGGCCTGGGGCAGTCGGCACTTCAGAATATTTGACACCAAAATAGTGGGAGATTCATGATACATCGTTTCTTCTCCTAAGAGGAAAAGTCGTACCATATGTACCCTTGAAAACGCAACTATATTTTGGTAAGATAGAATGTGCCCGTGTGCATAGCATGCCTAGTCCCTTTTTTGTAATCTTCCAGGGCTCCCATTATACTGGATTTTGAATCTAAATATTTAGATTTGTTTTGATAGCGACTGTTTAGCAATGACTGCAATTTACGTGCAGTATTGGAACCAGGAAGAAAAAAATTGGGACAAACCAAGATTTGAACCTCGAATATTGTAAATATATAGTGTAAATATATAGATGAATTGCACAGATTACGTATGCCCAGGATTTTATTTACTTTACTGATCTTTTGTGGGCGTCACCGTATGCTACTACAATAAACGCACGATTTATTTATCAGAATGGATCCTTGTCTCCCGATGTGGAAAGTTGTGATCAATTTATTATTCCGTTTATTTATTTTTGTGATTGAAATCATGCCAATCGCAAGCAGAAAAATTTGGGCTAAAGTAACATCTTTAACACTCAAATGAGGTTCTGTGCTGGTTAGTAAGTTCTCTTATGTCTACCGTAAGAGATACAAAATCTTACAACACTGTATGCATCTTCGGCTCTCATTTCTTGGGGTAAACGAACAGGTGTGAAATGCGTGTTCCTAGCTTACAAATGAATATCTAGTTATCTACAAATGCACTTATTTCCACCACTATAAGTTTCACTATGGTACAATTTGGCCTACAGCTAGAAAACTGTTTCCACCTAAAAGGAAGGAAAACCTGACACCTTGTAAAATATATAGCACATGACATCGACACCATCGAGAGTCTTCTTGTACCTTGTGAAAACTAGCGGTGCCATGAACTACATGGGTGCGGGAACGCCTAGTTCGTTAGGGCGATTTGGCTGGGCCCCCTCTGCAGCTACAACAGCAGCTTGCCTGCGCTGCCTCTCACGGAGATAGAGCACAGTTAGCAGGCATGCAAAGAGAGTGAGAATTGTAGCATTTCCTTCCTCCAAAAGCACATTCTCCACCCAAGCTTCCAATTTAGGATAGACTTCTGGCAATGAATCAATCATATGAACCTAATAGAAACAATAAGCACACTGCCATCAGGGTCTGGACTAAAGAACAATGGAAAATCTGAAATATTATGGAAAAAAATTGAAGAAACACAGTTACAGATCACAAGTTTAAGATAATGACACTAATGAGGCTCCTGAAGGGTAAGAAAATTAACATTTCATTCTCTTTCAGTGAATTAACATAGTTCCATTCATTGATTGTAACTATGCAGTATTGCAGCAGGCATACCAAAGAAACTCACCAAGAAACTGTCTGCATAGTTCTTACGAACCCACAAGCTTGTAAGAGCAAGTGTAACTGGCAACTTCGCTGCAGGATCATGCTCTAAAGCCTCATCATAGTAACGCTTTGCTAGATGAAAATCAAATGGAAGTCCTTGGCCATGCTCATGCATGTAGCCAAGATTGAACATGGCTTGTGCATTGAATTGTGATTTTGCATGCATGTAGGCCTCAGCAGCTCGATCATAATCCCTGGCAGTACCCTGACAGAAGGAAAAAGGAAAACATAAGAAAGTTAAAAGATGTAGGGAAAGAGAGCACAATGGCCTAAATTGAATTCACAGCATGCACATGCCTAATTCATCCCAAAACCACATACCCGACCATAGTAATACGCATCTCCAATGAGTAAAGCAGCATGTTCATTACCCTGCTCAGAGGCTTGCCACCACAGAGAATGTGCCCGCTGATGCCTTTCTGCATCAGTGCAAAATCCAGATTCACCCATGCACATGCTTCGTTCCCCATATTTGTCAAGAATCCAAGCAGCATTACTTTGTGCCACCTCATAGCCCATCTCAGCCATTCTTGAATAGAGCATAAATGCCTTGCCAACATCACCTTTTAAGTATGATTCTAGAGCCCATCTAGACAAAGAACTCCATGGACCCCGCTCTGCAACTAGTTTGTACAATGCAGTAGCCTAAGACCACAAAAATTAAAAGTTAGCAAATAAATTTGACAGCAGAGACTTTTCATGAACTTAATTCTAGACTAGTACTCAAAAATCAAGTTTCCGTAATAGTCATTGTGCTTTATTCTAATGAATTATACATGGAATCTAAAATGGTATCACCTGAAATAAAAACATGAGGCATTGTTGTATAACATATAGGGGATGTATTCAAGAACACAAGCAAAGTAAAAACTACCTGTAGCTTATCAGTTATGTGATGATATGCACCACTCACACAGAACTTGCAAGAACTAAGTAGAACAAAATTTCAAATATTTGAAATATTACACTAACCAATAAATATAATGGGTGAGCCAAGTAAGAATTAAAAGAAAAAGGATAAGGAAGAAAATCCTCATGCACTCAAACATTGAATTCTTAGTTTAGACAGTTTAAAAAACTATTATCTAAGAAAGTAGTACAAGTCCTTTTCATTGGTATGTAATACAGGCACAATCTTGAACAATAAATAGAACATAACATAACCATATTACAATAATCAATTCCACAACATATCAAAACAGGATTCAGTAACATACTAACATTGAAAAATAATTATGTCAGGTTCAATTTTTTATACTAGTAGACTAATGAACCACACAGATCTACCAGTTCCAGGGTAGCACAACAAATAATAGGATCATCAGCAATTCAGCACAAAATTGCAGTAATCATAAACATTATTTGATAGGAATACACTGACAATAGGAAATTTTCCATTAAATATATCTTTTACACATTCTGAAATACATTATATTAAAATTAACATTAGAGAATCATATAGACATCAGGCTCTTGCAAACATTAACCGATGGTTTTCACAGCACTCAATAAAACAGAGAAGTAAATAATGAATGAATCAACATACCAAGGGAATATTCTTCTTGAACCCAACACCAATATGGAAAATCTTAGCCAGCTGGTAGAATGCCTTTGGTTGACCATGGTTGGCAGCCACCACAAAGTACGTACATGCCAACTTAACATCTCTTTTCACTCCAATCCCCTTGAGATACATGACACCCAGGTTATAGTGTCCGCCAACCTCTTCATTGTCAGCAGCCTTTTCAAAATACTCTTTAGCCTGTAATTCATAAAAGATATTATCGTAAGTAAACATAAACCTACATAAAATCACAAACACATACTCCCACACACAGGGTAGCCCAACAATGACAAATAAACACAATCTTACTTTAGTGTAATTCTTCTTGTCGACGCCATAGCCTTTGACATACAAATAGCCCATCCCATTATAAGCAGAATACAAGCGGTGTCTAGAAGCAAGCGTGAGCCACTCAAAGGCTTTGGTGTAGTTTCTTTCAACACCAGCTCCCCTAGCATAGATCTCTCCAAGAAGCTCCATAGAGCGCGGCTCTCCCTTCTCCACAGCCTTCAAAAACCAAGAGAGCGCCTTCGAATGATCACGCCTCAATCCCCTCAATCCAAAATAATAAAAGAGACCAACTTTATACATGGCAGCAGCATTCCCTTTCTGTGCCTGATACTCCAGTATCTGAAAGTCATCATCCTCTTCCCCCTTGGATTTTCTAAGCGCTTCCTTGTTCTCCTCAGCTCCATTGTGAAGCCTAACGGGTTCAATAACCGGCGAATCTTTCGAAATCAAAAAACTATTCACCGCAACTTCAGCCAATTCAGCATAGAGTTTAACAGCTTTTTCAAACATCTGCCACCAACATCAACGGTCCAATTTCACGATTCCACATTCGCAGATCTAGTTACAGTAAAGAGAAACCATAAACGGGAAAAGAAGAAAAACATCGAACTCACTCACATCTTGGCGCGTGTACGTATAAGCCAAAGCCATCTTCGACTGCATATTGCCACCTTCAGCGGCGAAATGGTGGTAGAGAAAGGCCTTTCCCTTGCTTCTCTCTCTCAAAAGCCCCATTCCCCACAAAAACCCTAACACCGATTGCGCGGGCGGGTAGCCAGATTCAGCAGCAGTTTCGATCTCCCCGGCGCCTTCCTCGATGACGGTGGCGTCGGCGGACAATAGCTTCTCGACGGCGGAGTAATACATGGCCTCGGATTCTGATAACGGTTGGGGGTCTCCGGAGGAAGGTTCGAAGATTGGGCGCCATGAGCCAGGGTCGAGGTCGTCTTCGGATTTGTGGGTGTCAGAGTCGCCGAACTCGTCCCACTCGGCGGCAGAATCGGGATCGGAGGGAGCGTCGTCTTTGAAGTCTTCTTGAGAGAGAACGAGGACGAAGGGGCGTGCGGCGACGGAGAGAGAGAGAGTGAGGAGAGAGAAAGAGAGGAAGAAGAGCTTCGCGTTCTGCATTGTTTGTTATTACTGTGTCGTAAGGGTTACAATCTCAGTGCGCAAAACGATTTGGGAGAGGATGCAAAACGCAGGGGCATTTCTGGAATTACAATCATGTTCTTATTGCTGCCTTGTCATTGCCACGTTTCTTCTGCCCCTTTCACCACTAGGAACCTGCCAACTCAGCATACTTAACTCATCATCTTTTTCTTTTTTTCAAGAAATTCATCATCTTAAGTCTTACCTTTTGGGCTAGCCCAATTACTTCTTGGACTTGGACCTTCATAACATATAAGCAATTATATTAATAAAAAATATTTTATGGTAATTTATTCAAAGGTGGTATATTTAAATTAGTGTTTTTAAACAGTTAACTATCTTAAAAACATCAGATAAAGTTGCTGTTGCAATAAAAATATGTAAATAAAAACAAAATCTATATTTGAGCAATATTAAAATAACAATAAAAGAATGAGTGTTGCAGATGCAGGGGAGAACTCATCTAGTGTTGAAGTGGGGGTTAGAATCTGGCTTGACCGGGGCAGGTTGTTTCTGCTCTCACCAATTCATTCATTCATATGCCATCTCATCCTTTTTATTCTCATTCTCATTCTCTCTGCCTCACATCAAACTATGTCTTCTCCCTTAGGTAAACCTTCAACCATTCAATCACAAACATCTTCACCTTAGAACCCAATTCTTCATTTCATTTCATTTCAACTTACCCTCACTCACTGGTTTGTTGTTTTTGACAGATGATTGCACAGAGCACTTATTGGATGTGGATGGCTACGCCAATGGAAATGGCACGGACCTCGCAAAGCCCAAATTCAAGATAAGAAATCTGACCAGAGTTTCTGATGATGGTGTTCTCATTCTCAAAGGCATTAACGTTGACATCCCCAAAGGTGTCATCGTGGGTGTCATAGGTCCCAGTGGAAGCGGCAAGTCAACGCTGTTAAGGGCCTTGAACCGTCTCTGGGAGCCACCCTCCTCCTCCGTCTTCCTCGACGGCGCCGACATCTGCGATCACGACGTTCTCTCCCTCCGTCGTAAGGTTGGGATGCTCTTTCAGCTCCCTGCTCTCTTCGAAGGTCACAACTTTTATTCATTTTCATACACCCTTTTCTTTCAACTCAGTAATCTTAATTAGACCCTACGATTTGGAAGAAATTTAGAATTCTTCTGAGTTTTTCGTTTTTGTTTTGAATTGAACGTGGCACTAACGTGGGAGGGTATCTCTTATTCAGGCACGGTTGCAGACAATGTGAGATATGGACCACAACTGAGAGGGAAAAAGCTAACCGATGATGAGGTGCGCAAGTTGCTGATAATGGCGGACCTAGATGCTTCTTTCATGGATAAATCCGGGGCTGAACTCTCTGTGGGTCAAGCTCAAAGAGTAGCACTTGCCAGGACCTTAGCTAATTCACCAGAGGTAACAACAACACTGTAGTGTATATATATATATAGTTTGTGTTTGTATTTATGTTTTTTATTTGGAACTTTTTTTTTTAAGGTTTTGCTGCTGGATGAGCCAACTAGTGCGTTGGATCCAATATCCACGGAAAACATAGAGGATGCCCTGATGAAGCTGAACAAGAATCGGAGCATAACAGTGATCATGGTCTCTCATAGCATCAAACAAATCCAGAGGATTGCTGACATAGTCTGTTTGCTTGTTGATGGTGAAATTGTTGAAGTTCTCAAGCCTGATAAACTCTCTGAAGCCAAGCATCCAATGGCACAGAGGTTTCTTCAACTCAGTTCTTAGGGGTCTTAACTTATGCGTTGTAAAATTCTATTTTCGCTTGTGGGATTTAGAACTTTGAATCGGTCCAAGACAAGATGACCTACTTGCTGCTTTATCAGCCATATTAGTGGACCTCGATAAATATCATTGTATCAATCGACTATATTAATTCTATATGTTGCTTTCGAGACATGTTCATGACATTCTTGGCTGATATGGAAATGTCATGGTCGAGGTTTTGTCATAATATAATATTTTTAGTTAATAGAGGTATATTTAGTGGAGAATATTTTTCAACATGCAGTAGTTCCAGATATCAAGAATAGTTATACTAGTGAATTTCACAAAATGTTGACCAATGCTTAAGGAAATAAAAATAGAAGTGTTTAATATAATTAAAAAAAACTGTATAATATTTATTATTTGAGTGACTGGAACTGTTTAATAAAATTTATTAGATACTTCTCTACTAATTTTTGTTAATTATGACACTGTTACTTAGTTCAAATCAAATTAATTAAATGAATAATGTCTTGTTTAAATATTAGCAACCATGGATAAAAAAAAATATTACTAATTAATGTCATTAAATTACCAAACAGTGAATATAAAATTAATTATCATTTTCTTCTTCATTTTCAATTGATTCAAACAATATATCTAAACAATTTTAATTTTTTCCCCCTTACTTTTCTTTTTTCTTTTATTTTCTTTTCACTTGTTTAAGATACAGTGCAAACTGCAGAGTTAACGTGGAAGTTTCTTAAGACAGTTTTTTTTTTTTTTCATACACTAAAATCTCAGAAACAAACGTAGGATAAAGTCTTCAAGTGAAAGGATCCAATACATTTTTAAGATGTTAATTATCACTAATCAATTTTAATGAAGAAGACCTTTCCTTGCCCTCTAAAATAATGAACTTTTTGTTCAAAATGAATGAGTGCTCCTTGCACTGAAACTTTTCACGTGAATTTGCAAGCTAAAATGAATTGTAAAGTAAAAGATGACCCACAAACCCACGAGTATAGTCGAAATTACTACACCAAGAAGTGTGTGTGTGTGAGGAGTATTTAAAGGGTGATGTGCAGTGGTAGGCCTCAGAACCTTGTGTATTTAATTCTTTCGTAATCTAGATGCCATGTTCCTGTGGCTGCGGCTGTTTTGTTTTCATACTGATTCTAGTGTTAATCAAATTTAGAACTGTTGGGAGTTATTCTAGTTAAACGCCAAAGGGGTGTGTTGTCGTTTTGGATAGTGGTGAGAGAGACAGAGAACGTTAAGATTGGAGGCACCTCTTGCTTGCTTCCAACAGCTGATAAGGCTCACAACACAACACATGTTTGTTCGGTTCACCCATTACATTATGCCACAAATTCCACTTAACTTTGCCTTAAATTCAATTTGGTAGCTCACTTTATTTTTAAAACAAAGGAGATTGAAAACTTTGAGACAAAATCCAGTTTATATTTCCATGTTATAACAAACATTAATTTATGAATGTTAAAACGTAGGCTTGATTGAGCTTTTTATTCCTATAATTTTAGTCTTTTAAATATTTTTTTGAACTAATTAACTTTTTTGAGTAAAATTATCTTGCATAAAAAAAATACTAATGGCTGGAAAAATAAAATCATGGCATCATCATCATGGTCGACAGTTCAACGATGACAAGATCTAATTCTTTCAATTACTGCATTTGGTTAATCTTCATGATATAAAAGGATATGGATTTAATAGTGAGAGAGAGGAATGAGGAACAAGTGAACGAGTCAATTGAATGACGAATGTTTTCCTTTCCATCACACAATTATCACTTATTGCATTTAACTATTCTGATCAATAGTTAAAAGAAAAGGAAATTCTATTATATAGAAAGAGAAAAAGAAAAGGAAGTTAACCATCATTTCCCGACAATTCTCAGGCATCTTACCAGTGTAATTTGACTTATCTTCCATCTTTAATCAAATTTAACCCACAAGAATCTAAAAAGTTGAGCGACAAAGGAAGGAGGAGTAAGCTGTGGAATGAGAAGGAAGCGATCACCATTAGTTTGGGTAAGTTTCATCATTACCATTGTTTTTCCTGATAAATCAAGTAAAAGTTATCTGTTATTTGAATAATTAAAATTTGAGTTTATAAACAAATTAAGAAAGAAAATCAAATAAACATATTGAACTAACGTGGAGAGGAGAATGAGTAAACAAATGATTTTTAAAAGAAAACGAATCAAAGCTTATAAGATAATTGGTGAGTAATGTAATACTAATATATGTTAGTTATTTTGTATATTAAATTTTAAATAAACCATACGTTTGTAAATATATAAATTTATAGCCAATAACTTTTGGGTCCTTGTAAATTTTTTCAGTTTTGGCTTTTACGTTTTTTAGTTCCTTTTTACTATTACATACTATAGAGAATCAAGGGATTAAAAATAAAATACCAAAAAAGTGGGGTTTAAATACAATAGACAAGGATTTTAAACAAAAAAGTGAGAAAAAAAATGGACTGAAAGCAAAGAGAAAAACTAAAATTCAAAATGCAAGAATTTACGGTGACCAAAATGTTTATTAAGTAAAAAATTATTTACTAGAGTAACTTAATTTTTATGCACACATAAAAAATATTAAATAAAAAATTTAACTATTAAATTTTATCATAAATAATTACAATTAAAACATAAAAATGATATAATACTTTAAAAATCGCATAACTTTTTAAAATTAATCATATATGTATGTATGTATGAGTGATTTAATCCATTTTACCTTGTTCTCTTCTTTCTTAAAATAAGGATTTCAAAAGTTCAAAAAATGACTCTGGCTCCCATTGATTGACGGTCACAGTGATAAATATTAAATTAAAAAGACCAAGACTTCCTACACGACATTTATTGAAATAAAAACTTAGATACAACAAATATTATTACTGTTCTCCCGTTGAAATTAATATTTTATTTCAATAATTATTATCAATTTTAGTTATTACGAAAAAACAATACTGAAATAAAGTATAAACTTTAATTTGAAAACAACATCACCTATTACTGTGCCTTAATTTTGTCCTTCTTCAAAAGATGATAGACTTTTCAGGGCTTAATTAAGTGAAATAATATAAAATAAAATTGATATAATATTGTTTAGTTGTTTTGTAATACAATAATAAATATATTTTATTTATATAAAAAAGGTGATAGAATATTTTTTTATAATAATTTAGTTTTATAATGAGATTAAGAATGTATTTGAAAATAGTGTTTAATTAAGCACTTATTTAATAAATTATTTGTAAATAATAATTTATTTCATAAATTAGAATAATGCATAAAATTCTAAACTATTTTTTAAAACTATTTATACTTCATTCAATCTATTTGATTTCTATATTTTTTTATTCTCATCTAATTTGGGTAATTCAAAACCATAGGATTTTAAGGGCATAAACCAGCTGGGTCGCAAGTAGCAACAATCATTTCAATTTCAAACACAATCGTCTTTGAGCCCTTCTCTCCCTTTCTGTCCTCTTTTTTCTATCATTTGTAGTCACAAACTGTAATCACAGCACAAACCACAAACTCAATATAGAACCACTATTAATAAGCAACTATATTTTTTTTCACACAACTCCACAACCCAACAAATTTTGCTTCCTTCCTAATTCCGAAGTTCCCACACACACAACAATGCTAGATCCAGCTACTGAATTGGTGCCACCACCATCTTCACCCACCAACTCATCCATTTCCTCCTCTGATCTTGACACCGAGGTATCACCAAAACCAAACCCAATTCTCAAATTTCTTAAAGTTTCATCTTTTTATGAATTAATTAGATTTTTTTTTTTTTTTGGGTTTTTGATAGTCCACGGGATCATTCTTCCATGATAGAAGCACCACACTGGGTACTCTCATGGGTGTGAGCTTCCCAGCCATTGCTTTCAGAGCGCCATCTCAGAACCAGGACCCACATTCCGCGGCCGCCTCCGTAGCCGTGGGTGGCTCTGAGAGGACTGCCAAGTCCAAGAAGAAGGCCAACACGGTGATCGTGGTGGCGGAGCGGCGGAGGAAGTGGTGGCGGTTGTGTAGGGATGGCGATGCGAGGCCCGCTTCGCTGGGTGAGTTTCTCGCGGTGGAGCGGCGGTTCGGCGACGGCGCGTTTTACGGCACGGCGGCGGAGCTTGAAGGAATGGTGATGGATCCGCAGAGGAACCATGGACGGGCGTTGTTTGCCGACGGGAGGGTTCTTCCGCCGGCGGTTGTCGACGACGGAGCATCGACGGCGGGGAGTCTTTGTGGGAGATTTCCGGTTTCGCTCACCGGGATCTGTAGCGGCGGTGCTGGATAAGATCGAGTTTGAATTTTGATTCTTTTTTTTTTTCTAATAAATTAAAGACAAAAAAGGGAAAATGGTTCATTTTTTAGGATTTTTTTTTGTTACAATTTTTTTAGGATTGTTTGGTTGGTTGTTTATTTGATTAGTCTATTATTACCATTCTTATGCCTGTGATTTACGTGCCAATGGCATGGTTTGGCTTTTACTATGTACATTTTCATAAAGAATAATATAACATTTTATGATGTGATAATCATGAAGAGCAGGAAGAGATGAAAAAAAAAAAGGAAGTAAATTGTGATAATTTAAAGTATATTTAAGCTGATATATTAACATAATCACAGACAAATGGGTGATCGATGTTAAATGTCAATCATATACTTCGATTGTGCAAAAATAAATAAATAAAAAATCAAATCAAGCCCAATCGAATAATATGGATTGGAAACTGCTTGTGGTTGATGAATAAAAATCAATGTCCAAACAAAAGTGACTTTGAACTTTATTTAAAAGGGACCACGTAGTTTTCAAATAGGAAGTTTGAAAGGGATTGCTTCTTTCATATTCAAAATTAAAATTTTGGTAAAAACTATAAAAGTTGTTTTCCATATATGTTATATATATATATATATTTTTTTAAAAAAATGTAATTCCTTGCTTAATTGATGCCTATCACACCAAATAAGCTTTTGCCTTTACAGTTCAGGCTTTACTTTTCCTTTTCTGTTTATTTAATTTATTGTTGAATTCTGTCCTTTTATTTGAACAATCAAATGAGGAATGGAGCTTCTCAATCGTTAATCCTCTACACATAGTTATTTAAACAAACTATTTAAGTAATATATCTTTATTTTTAATCATTTATGTATAATTGAAATCAATTGATGTCAGATTAATGACAAACTACTTTTTGTATAGTCTCATATAAGGTTTTGATTATTAACTTAAGGGCTATCAATTAATACTATCCAACTATAAATTTATTATATTTTTCATTATTATTCATATTATATGCTCAAAATATATATACATTCACACACAATTGACATTTTTTAGGTCTAAGAAGTAAATTTAAATTTTAAAAAAGCTTCAAATAAATTTTAAACAAATTTAAACTGTTTTGTATGTGTTTATTTTGAATTGGCATAAACGTAATATCAAATAATATATTTATCTTAAAATTGAGTTAAAGCATTTGTAAATAAAAAATTTTATTAAAAAAAATACAATTATTATATTAAAATTATAAAAATATAAAAAATATGTTTTTAATAAAATTTTAATATTATTAGCTACTTTTTTTTAGCTCTAAAGTTTAAAGCTAATAAAACTAAAAAATATTTAGCTTAAATTCATATCACGTGGTAAAATAAATGTTAAGTAATAAGATACTTTTATTAAAAGTAAATTTGAAATATATAAATTATTAAATATTTATTCAATAAATTCTTATTATAACTTAATTAAGGGTATAATTGACCATAAAATTATTGTAATAAGTAAAAGGTAATTTATTTTAATAAACTACTAAAAGAATTACTGAAAAAAATCTTAAAGTTATAAATTATTTTATAAAATATTTATAAATTCTTTCAAATATCCTTAAATCAGTCTTTTTTGGGTAACATCCATTATATCAATCTTGTGAATAAAAAAAGGGTTACTTTAAATTATGTAATTATACTCAAATTACGAAAGACTGAACATGAGTTTAGATAATAAGATTTTAAACAAATAAAGTATCAGTATCTTGCTGAATAACAATAAATTTTTTATACATAGTTGACAGTGCAATTAATATGGCTTTGACTCAACGTTAAGCATGCATTTGCTCAAGCAAAATGTTAAGCAATGTTGTTTAACAGCTGGATCAAATATGTCAATGTCGCTTTCATTTCTTCTCCCTTGTTGCTCTGCGGTTTCTATAAATGAAATGAATAGAACTTTTACAATGGACTTTAAAGTTTGGAATTTTTTATGCTTTTTAAATACAAAATCTTCTTGACCCAAAAAAAACCCTATCATAGTTTTGAATATTACTAAAAAAAAGGAACATCATTCTTAGTGTAGGAAATAAAGGTATGAACAGGTCATGAAGTTGACCAATTTTGAATTAGATATGGTTTACTTGAGCTTATTTATTAAATAAGTTTTTTTAAAGGACACATTTTGTTAAACATGTTAAATTTAAAAGACATTTTAAGTTTGAGAAATCAATTTTTGTTTTAAAAAATATAAATAATGTATTATTATATAATTCTTTTATAATACTTAAAAATTATATTTATTAATCATTTAAAAGTTAGAATTCATTAAACATTTTGATTAAATTCAAGTTTGAATAATTAAATTATACTCTATTTATTAAAATTGAGTAATTAACAAAGAACAGAGCTAATTAATTGACTAATTAATATTCAAAAATTCAAACAATAAAAATAAAATTATAGTCTTTGAGAGATTCTTGTTGATAATTAATCCTTAACAAGAAATGAAAGAAGGATAACAACTCAACATGCACAGAATGGACAACAGCAGAACACAGGGGTACTTGCTAGGTTCCTCTCTAACTCTTACTAGTTACAATAGTCCAAATTTTATGTAGAAGAATCGTAGTTTAGGAAGCCTTATTTTAGTTCTGTTGAAAGTAATACAGAAGGGTCATGAATCTATTTCAGTAAGCAAATTATCGGGTAATACATGCCTAATTTTAATGTTCAAAACTTTAGCATAGTATTAGAAATGAAATGTCAAGACTGAATTACATAAACTACATAAACTGTGATCAGCACTCACCACTCTACAGTGGTTTGTTAACAACTTCGTTTCAGTATGTCCACTATTTAAATATGTTAAGTTTAATTCAAGATCTCAAATTTTGGTCATGTTTGGTTTGACAAAACATTTTCAGATAATCACAAATATGCTACTATCACTTCCACACAGCCACAATATTTTGCTACTCTCCTGAGAAAAAAAATTCCTTTAATTGATCCATAAACAAGCTATGGAGATTGCAGGGAAGGATTTACATATTTCATTTAGTATATATACCATCCATGCTAGTAGTGCAAGATGCAAATCATATGGACTAGTTCTAACGTGAGGTTACAAAAAAAATTTTAAAAAATTGAAAAATTTCTACCAAATACAAATGAAGAAAATTGAGAAAAAAGAACATTTATCTTCATTTAAGGCCTTCATGGAGTTTCATCAATGGTCTCAAGTGCAGGTTTCCAAGATCTCTGCTTAGAGTACCTTTCCACTGGTTCTGGCTCCCTTACCACCTGATTATCACATTCTAATCTCTTTAGCTCCGAGGGGAACATGCAAAACTCACTAAACACCGGAAAAATCTTGGCCAAATTGTTAAAACTTCCATGCTTCATTGCTCTGGATGCTTTGTAATTAAGAGAGCTCATTTCTTCATGGGTTAGCACAGAGTACAACAGCTCCATTGGTAGAAGGAAGTAAAATTTGCGCCTTTCAAGCTCTTCATCAGCTAGAAGCCCATGAATACGGTGACCCACTTTGAGGTAGCTAGAGTCACAAACAAATTGTCCAGGGCATTCTAACATGAGTTCTGCAGCTCTCATTGGTTTTGTGTAGGCCTCTAGTCTCCCATCTAAGAATAAGACCTTGAAGACCCCATTGGGTATCAAGGAAGGAGTGCATGAAACTGCATTGCCCATTTCTCAGAGAGAGACAAGGGATTTGAAAATTTGTTATTTTCCCCTAGAAATGCTGGCAAGTTAGAGCTGAGAAGGTTGATACTTGACAGTGCTTAGAATGTTACTGTATTTATTGGGGAAGCAACCTGGCAGTTAAGAAAGAAAGAAAGAGAAATAGTTGATTGTCTTTTTCTGGCTGAAGGTCCTTCGTTGGGTAATCAGTTGGCATATCTTTATTATGATATTTTAGTTTTATTTTTTTAATATTGAAGTTTGTCATACTCCAAGTTATATATGTTTAAAACAAAGTTTTCCATCTGGCAGTAGCCAAGTTTTTATGCAGATTTGTAGTTAAGGGAAAGTTGGTATGTCTTTGCGCCTTTAAAGCATATAATCTAATGTGTCACTTTAAAGATCGTCATGTTTTTTAATTCAAGGTTGGAAAAAAGCCACAAATGAAGGAAATATGGCCAACCTGGCAAATTTGGCCTATTTTGACTTCAGTGCATGGAAAAATCAAATGCACTTAACTTTTCTTTTAGTCTAATTTTGTATTTATGAGTGTCTTTCTGGTTTAAAGGATTGAAGACTAGTTTATTGGGGTGCACATGGGGAGGGATGAAGAAAAGGCTACCGGAAATAGATAACCTCACTTAAGGACACTACCAAACTAATGATTAGATATGGTACCAAGTAATTTCTTGCATTTTATATCATTAACAAAGGGTTCACCTAATATCTTCTAATATTTACACATGCACTTCATTTTGGATGATATGAAAGGAACATCTGCATTTGATGGCGAACGTCAAATCTTTTGATTGGTATCTAGTCATTATCCAATGCTAGCTTGCAATATATTCCCATGAACTCATATTATATTAAGTGCGCGGACATTTCTCTGGTTTGTCATAAGCTCCTCTATTAATATTTTCCTGTGCATAATTAGTCGAACACGCAACTAATTAGATACAGTCTCTGGTTTGTCAAATCTTAAAGAATAATTGAGAGAAAATCAATCATTTTGGCATTTGATACCTTCTTTTCATAAAATTTTATAATATAAGGATCAATATTTTAAATGATGTTTTCATGTAACAAGTTTCTCGGGAGAGTAGGTGATTAAAACCAAAGTCATTGGGCATAAAATTTGATTAAAACAAGTTGGTAAACAGAGTCAGTGGTATTAAATTTTCTTGCTTAACTCACAAATGGAGAATCTTAAGTAGGACAACTAAATGATTGCAATTTCAATTTGGACTTAGCCAATAATTAGTTGTCCAAAGGGGTTGAATGTTTGATTTGATGGCTTTTCTGCTCTAGTCCTATCGAACAGAAGGAATGATTTCCAAGCATTGGTTCGGTTGTTGCTTAAATGGTTGACATCAACATTAGCAAAGACAAACAGTTCATACACCGTTAAACTACTAGCGTTCCTTGCTCATTTCTACAAGCAAGCATTTTTTCATGATCGGAATGAACATTTATAATCTCAAATGCAAGTATCCACCGACTATATTTGATTGCAACAACAGAGAGGAGGAAATTTTCAAGACCAGATAGATCGAGAATTGTGCAAGTGAAACCCACAAATGTTTATAAAGAAAATTGTGCAAGTGACAAGTTTCCTTTTGAAGTGAACGGATCAAAGTATTCACTTTTAAACTTTTTGAATTAAAATATGATGTACTTAAAATTAAATTAGTGATATATACATATATATTTACTTTGAAGACAGGTTCTTTATATAAATTTTTTCTCCCTCTTTGAGCACCTTATATAGGGATTGATTGTTTGCTCGTGCATGACAAATTTATTTAACTGATATGAATCATTTTTAAGATTCAGCATAACTTTCCTAGCACTTTTTGGAGCAAGGAAGAAGGGAAGCACAGGAGGGATATTCAATTGCAAGAGCTTTCAAACAATAACAAACCAATTTTTAGGTATTATTTTCAAGCTAAGAAAAAAAAATGGTCAAACACTAAACATTAATAAAATGTTTAGTTGGCAAATAATAGATGAATCAATCAACTTTGAGATTTTTATTGAAATCAAATTACAATATTTCGTTAGAATATCGTTAAATTATTTTTTGAGAAGTTATACAATCATCATATCATAAGGTTATAAATGACATTGATACAATTTGGAATAATAACCATTAAAACAAAATTTATTCCAAATATCTACTGATTAATTATGGTTGAAAAGAAAAACTCAACAAAGTTATTTAATTCTTTCCATTTGTAATCATATCACTGGCATTTTTTTATGTATAAAGACAGCACATAGCATGCTAAGCACTTAACTTTTAGTAAATATTTTTAAAAATTTGTCTCCAATTTGAAATAATATTAGCATAATTTTGTTTACAAGTAATTAGAAATACTTGTCACATTAAATATTTTTTAAATTAAAGGCGAAATTTAACTAACAAGTGATAGAAAAAAATCCAGTATTTGAATTAAATATTTTAAAAATACTTGCTTCTCGCCCAAAAAATTCTAAATGTTTGGAATTGTGACTTTGTTTAAATTTGTTTTGATATTAATATATTTTATATAATAAAAATATTATATTTATTAGATTATATTATAAAACGTATTTTTGTATTTATTTAAATAATTAATTTTTAATTTTTTAAATTTAACCTATTATATTTATATTTTTTGTTTGATCTATTATTTAAATTTAGTATTCGATTTAACATTAAAATATAACAAATACTAATCAATATTCTTTAATTAAAAATAAAATATATTAAAAATTTAATTTTTGATACCCTTTTATCTGAAGTGATACAAAAAATTATTTCCTTTTAATTATTTTATTATATCTTATTCTATAAAAATATAAAATATTGGACAGATCAACAGTCTTACAAAATATCTTTCCATATTAGTTTCTAGCGTTACAAGCGTAGAGAGGGACCCAACCCAATGATTAAACGACACGTATGGAGGAGCAGAAATTAACGACATTTTTGGAGAATTAACTTGAACAATTCAACGTCTCATCTCCAACGAATCATCGTTCTCCACTCGTCCCTGCTTCCTTCCACAGGTATTCCTTCTGCAACGTCTTTGTGCTTATCACTTCCGACCATAATTCCTAGGAGACTCGTTTAAGGTTCTATGTTTTGAAAGTTTGCTACGGCAACTGATTCCTCTTTTCTTCAGCGATGGCTTGTGTTCCACATCAAAATGCAAATTGTACCCTTTTATTCCAAAAATGTGCAATTTCCCATGTGGGTATTTCTTCTTTGCCCTTCTTGCAACCTGGAGTAAAATCTTGTACACTTTTTAACAAAGGTCCGTTAATTACTGAACTACTTGCGTGATTTTGTCGGCTTCATTAACGTGGATATACTTCTTTTCTTTCCTGAATATTGCACTTGCTGTTTATTCGATTTCTCAGTTTAGTTTCATTTCTTGTTCCTATTTCTTCTAAATGTTTAGGAACACTCAGTCCCCAGTGCTTGAATGGAAAGAGGAGTTTTCCTTTACCAGAAAAGAGATTTAGTTGGAAGTTTTCGAAGAAAGAGAGATTATATATTCCTAGAAGTAGTAATTCTCCGAACTCAAATGGAAATACGGATGAACAATCTGATGAGAAAGAGGTAACGCTGATGTGATGATTTTGTCGTACTCAGATACTATTAGCGAATGGCTTTTGACTTGACATTGCTATCCCCTTATATTCTGACCATGAAACTTGAAATCTTTAGAAGTTTATAGAAAACATGGTTGCCAAACCCCAAATGCATATTCTAATTGCTTGTTGCTTGGTGCCATAAATCCACTATTTTTTCCTTTTGGAAGGGGAATTACTTTTTTTACGGTGATATGTTTAGTGCCATGGTCGATTTCAAACTTACACTTTAAGAACCATAAACTAATAGAAGAATGGCTACTTTTGATGAAGGTTGGAAGATGAGGAAGATTTTTCCACATTTTCAGGTGGTGGAAATGAGTATAATTATTCTCTTTAGAAACTTCTCTCGTTGGTAATTATATGTATAACAGTTTGATTTGATGGATTAGCTTCCTTATTGTTTGATATGTTATGTTTTTGTCTTCTGAAAATTACAACCAGTCAAGTAGTAATTAATTAGTGTTTTGGTTGTGTAAATAGGTTCAATTAAACAATGGAAAATAGAATGACTACTTATTGTTGTCATCTGGCATATACTTGCACTGAAATTCTCAGCTTGCTTTATCAACCTTGCTATCTCAGGGATATAACAAAATGAGATACCTGATGCATATTATTTTTTGGATATTATAGAAGACACCATTTGGATACACAAGGAAAGATGTCCTATTAATTGGACTTGGAATTACTTTACTTGGCATTGGCTTAAAAAGTGGATTGGAGGTACCGTGCATTTTTCTCTTACACAATTATTGTAATATGCATGTTTCCCTTTTCAGTTTCTTATATTTTTTTACCCTTCAACATCTTAGCACTTAGCTTATTCTGATTCGTAAATGAGACAGTACATTGTCAAGATTTTTTACAATTAAATCAGTGTACATTCTTGTAATTGTTTGTCCATAATGTAATGGATACCATACAGACATTTATGTGCTGCGATTAATTCATGTAACTGTTCTTGAATATTTTTTGCAGTTTGTTGGAGTTGATTCACTACAAGCCGGAAATGTAGTACAGTTGGTGCTGGTTTTGGGCCTCACCGTTGGGTGGATCTCAACATATATCTTCAGAGTTTCAAACAAGGATATGACATATGTACAACAATTACGTGACTATGAAGACAAAGTGATGCAGGTAAAGTAGTATTAACAAGGTTCCTTTTCATTTTAGAGGAGCCAAATCTTTGAAGCTTATTATTTTTTTGATTTACCACAAGAACTGCAAGTGCATGTCTGTGTATTGACTATGATGCTTTGGGGTCAATTTGTCCTTTTCCTAAATTCTTTTCATCATCTTGAAAATTGGTCAAATCGCTATGTTATTGTACCTTTTTTCTTTTTAAAAAATATGAATGAAATAAGATAATTCATCGGTGCTTAAATTGTCAGAAATTGAGAGGCTTAAAAAAATTATGTAAGGACAATATATTGTTGCTACCACATGGGCGCTATAAACAAAGTAGTGAGTCCTAAAATTGGTTAGGATAATATGAGGTTGCCCAACTTCTTGTCCAACAGCCGCTCTCTATTTGCACCGGCTATGATATCTTTTCATTGTTGGGGAAGCTGTTCTTTAGAATGTCTAGGACTAAAATGAGTTGGATAGATGCCCAATTTTATTTACAACACTTTTCAAATTTTTCTTTACATGTTAAGTGAATAAGTTCTTTACTTAATGCCAGTGGATATGGTTGAAAATTTTCAAATTGGGTGCAGCTGCATTCCATATGATAAAGTATTACTTTTACTTTTCTCTTTTATACTGAGCTTGAGAGACAGATAGTCTGAAACACATCTAGACATCTCAAAAAATGTCATATAGTAAAATATTTCTTTCTGAACACATGGCTGAATCTTGAAACTTGGGTCTGCAACAAGTTGTGTTCTCACATTGTTTCTGAATATAACATGTCACTGAATAATATTGCCTCTATTGAATCTGCAGAAGCGTTTAGAGTCCCTAACAGAAGCGGAGCTAGAAGCACTGCTTCAAGAAGTTGAGGAAGAGAAGAGTCGTTAGCTGGTGGTGCAAAGGTGGATTGAAGTAGCTTGTTTGTATATATACACTGAAATTTTTCCACTGTAATTGAAATAGAAATTTTAATCTAATGAAACTAGTTTAGAAAATTTTTACCTATGCTTGCTTCAGTTTACTCACAGTCAAAAAGATGACCCTTCAAAACCCATAGTATTCTGTTCACCAGAAATTCCAGATAAGGTAAGTCTCTAAGGTAGCATGACAATGCTTTTGAATTCTATAATTTTGTGGTTTTCCTTGGTACTGTGCTGTTCACCTATGAACCTCATGCCATAATGAAGAATGTTGAAGGTAATTTTGGAGCTTGGCCCAGCAATTTTCCTCATAACCTGAATTATTAAGTAGCTTACTTTTTGGTCTTATGTTCCCTAGCTCCTAGGAGAAAACGAATTGCATGTCCTTCAGTTGAAACATTTGTTTACTAAAATAAGTAAATAGACGTTAATTCCGCAGGACTGCTCTAAATTTGAATGTTTCCCTTTTTCTTTTCTCTGTGTAAGTTCTTTCCCATTTTGGGGACATGTATTTAGAATAGAAGTCTCAATGAGGAAGCTTTCTTATCCGAAGTAGACAAAAAAATAAATCTCTTTTTATACCATATTAAAAATGAATCAGGTCTAATTCAACCTTAAAAGTGATTCAAGGGACATCTTTCTGACCAACATAGACATCTTAATATTAATTGATAATTATTATACCAAGTCACATTATGCACCTAAAAAGGGCATGTGGGAAGTCATATATGTCCCTCAGCCTTTTCGGCATGTATGACTGAACCATTAACGTGCACGAACGCTTGAAGGAACCTTCGACCCTTAGAAAACTAAAGCTAAGTGGGGAATGCAGAGCTAATTCAGTTCCGTCTATAAGCCAAATCAAGGCGACAATACCATGAGATATTGAGTTACAAAGTTAACATTCGATGTTACATCTTTTTTTATTTGTGCTCAGACTTTGATCCGCAAACCTGTTTAAAAGCTCAAGCAGACGTATTCTTCAGGGAAAGAATGAACTGGTTATTTTTCTGACGGATAAATGCAAAATAACAATTTCTTATACAATAAGACCGATTAAAGTTGTTCAATATAAACAAAACATTAACTTAAAAAAGTTTGTTTTCTTTTAACTTTCCAACTTTAATTAATAAATAATATTTTCTGTTGTAAGTTTAAAAAACAGAACAAATTTTTTTCATATTAATATATATTTAAAAACTCTTATATTTAATTTAACTTTTATTTATTGAATTATAATTTATTATTTTATTAACAGTTAAATGTAAATAAAATAAAAAAATTAAATTGAGTGTAATAATTTTTAAATTTATATATAATTTAGATTAAGAAAATTTTTCTTTTAAAAAATATATAGTTGTGCATATTATATGACGTGTGTAGAATCTAAATTGTTTTTTTTAGGTATAATATAAATTCCAAGTATTTCAAGAGAGATTAGGACAATTCAATCTTGTATAGATGATCAAAAATTAATTTTGAGAGAGATTCCCCTTAATTCCTCTGTCCGTTTGTCATAATTACTCGGTTTCTAAGGATAAGATTTTGTATTGATGTGTTTCCCTCTTATCGTGAATTGGCATATGACATGGGGAAAAACATTGTTGAATATTTAAGGAGCATATGGTTAGGTGAGTGTCCTGGAGATAAGAGAAGAAAAAGAGATTATAAATCAATGAGATGATAGTAAGAATTAAATATTTCACTTTCACATAAACAGTGTTTTGTTTTTAAAAGTTTTTGGTTTCATAAATTGGTGTTCTCTTAACTTGAAGACACGTAGTGAACAGTTTTGCCAGTTGAATGCATAATTGGTGTGGTGGTGGACTATATAAACATTAAACAGTTCTTCACCGCATTAAGCACGATAATTACTTGTGAAAGATGAAAGACTTAACTAACAAGACACTTCATTGAAAGCAAGAAATTAATTATCTAAGGAAAAATAATAGAATATTTGTACATTGGGCAGTGGGTTCCCTCCTACGCTTGTCCTTCATCGAGAGTTTAAACTGGTGAAAAACTGACAGATCAGTTACGAAAACAGGCACAAAGGCATCTAGATGCAGGGCACGTGTCATTTTAGTCCTATGCTTTCGTCACATTAATATTATTCTTATGAAAAATTTTCCATATTCAAACACCAAACTCAATCATAACAATTCACTCGCCTCGAGTATATGTGCTTCTTCCTTTGCACTAAACTCTAATTACAAATAATAAAATATAAAATCGTCACACTCTCTCTCAAACGCTTCATCCGTACCCATGGCCGTTTCTCTTCCGCCCATCCCTCCCAATACCAAACCACCTTTCTCGCTCTCCCTCCTCTGAATTGCCATCTTCGTCTCCATATTCTCTCTTTATTCCTCATCTTCGTGTTCTTCTCCTGCGTCTCTCTCTGTTCCTCCGTTTCAGTGTTCACGCGCTTTTCCATGGAGTCGCCCAAGATTGCTGGCTTCTCTCAGAAAACCCTAATTAGGCGTTGAAACGCGTACGCAGCAACCTCATAGATCGAAAATGGCGATTGTCACCGGAGATCGGTACCTGGAGAAGCTGGTGCAGTTCGTGGAGGAACAGGCTGGTCCTCTAATCGAAGGAGCCTTGGTGTTGAAGCTAAATCCGGCAGGGCTTCACTACGTGCAATCGAGGTTGGAAGCACTGCACGAGCTCGAGAGCCTCCTCGCCGGCGCTCCCGTCGACTACCTCCGAGCCTACGTGTCCGACCTCGGCGATCACCGCGCGCTGGAACAGCTCCGGAGGATCCTGCGCCTTCTTACCTCCCTGAAGGTCGTTTCGGTGTTGCTTCATCCCGTTAGGGATCCAACACCCCTCTCCTTCTTGCCATTTGGGAGGTTGAAGGTTCTGGAGCTCAGGGGTTGCGACTTGTCAACTTCCGCCGCCAAAGGTTTGCTCGAGCTTAGGCATACTCTGGAGAAGATCATTTGTCACAACTCCACCGTGAGTTTCGATTGCTTGTTGAGCTTTTGATTTTTCAACTGCTTTATTTGCTATTTAGTGGTGAGTGAAGTGAGTATTGGAATTGTGTGTTTTTCTTTAGGATGCTCTGCGGCATGTATTTGCTAGCAGGATAACGGAGATAAAGAATTCTCCGCAGTGGAACCGCTTGTCGTTTGTTTCTTGTGCATGTAATGGTTTGGTTCTCATGGACGAGTCTTTGCAGCTTCTTCCTGCTGTTGAAACGCTCGACCTTAGCAGGAACAAGTTTGCAAAGGTAGATAATCTGCATAAGTGTACGAAGTTGAAGCATTTGGACCTTGGTTTCAATCACCTGAGAACGTTTGCACCCTTCAGCCAGGTATATGGTTAAATATTCATTATTTTACTTGGGTTGTTTTGAATTTTCTGAATCTGAAGTAATTTTTCAAATGCTAGGACACAAAACTGTTGGAGTTTTGGTTTGAAAATTTGGGTAGATCTGTTAAAGTTGTCATTCATGGAATTGTTAAGAGTAAAGCCAACTGAACTAATTCTATTCAGGTTATTCTAGTTACTTAGATTGGGCTCGTGATATTATGAGTCTGAGATTTTAAGGGATTGTGAACTTGAATATAAATAATTTTATTCTTCTTTTCTTGGTTGTCACAAGATTTTACCTCGGGCCGCCTTGGTGGAGAATATCAGTCACCTTGGATATGGTTTTCTGTAAGGTGTCTAGGATCAAATATCCCCAAAGCTTAGGCTATTTGGCGCAGTCTGAAGAATGTCCTTATCTCAAACAGCACACTAGTGATTTTCAACTGATGGGACCCCAAATGGAATTTTTTTAGTTTAATTTCCTAAATTGAAGATGGGTTCTTCATGTAATTACGTTGAGATTAAAAATACAGTATTGAGCTGCTGCTGATCCTGCGATGAGCAATCTAGTAATGGTATAAGTGGAAGCTAGAATGGTGTGAGATCAGCTAAGCATGACCCATTAAGCTTGGATTGACTTGTCTGTCTTTGATAATCACTATTCTGCTATTCCTGTGGTTTACTTAGATACAAAAAAATTGATCTAGTGGGATTTAATGCGTTTTATTTTTAGAGCATTTGAGGATTAGTCTGAATGTTTCTAGCATGATCATGACCGGACCATTGACTATGTGGAATTCAGCTTTGAGTGAAACTTATTATAATCTGTATTGGGGTTAAACTGTATGAGTCAGTTTGGATAAACTAATAAAAGAAAATAAGATGAATTAAAGTGTAAAAGTAAAATGAACAAAACTATCTCTCACATGGAGAAGTTAAATAAGAGAACTGCTAAAAATGTTGAGGTGCATTAGTTGATTTTAAATTGTGAGAAAGATTGATTCATTTTATGTTTTTACTTCCTTTATTCATCTTATTTTCTTATCCTCTTAGTATGTGTTTCAATGAATTTTACTTGTGACTTCAAGTTTATTGTTCTCAGAACTCGATATGCAATCTAATTGAAAACTCATCTATTGATGTTGGCTAGTTACATTGTATACTAAAATGCAATAAAAGCAAATTATTTGTAGGAAGTTCTTAATATCTTTTGATTCAATTGTATGCCTCTCATTTTGAATTAGCTCTGGACCCACATACCAATTTTGTTGGATCGTGCAGGTTTCCTGTCATATTGTTAAACTAGTTTTGAGGAACAATGCTCTAACTACTTTGCGTGGGATTGAGAATTTGAAGTCGATTGAAGGACTTGATGTTTCCTACAATATTATTTCCAATTTTTCAGAGCTAGAGTTTCTTGCGGGGCTTCCATATCTTAAAAGCTTGTGGTTGGAAGGAAATCCTTTATGCTGTGCTCGATGGTATAGAGCACAAGTATTCAGCTTCTTCACCAACCCAGAAAGGGTAAGGTTATATTTCTGCTTTCACTCTGTCTGTAACTATCTCTGTCCATCTCTCTCTATTTGTTCGTTGCTTTGTGCAGCATGCTCTCATTTGAGGTTACGATTGTTGATATATTTGGTGTGAGTGATATTATGGGATTCTATATTTTACTGTACTCAATTTCATTTTCGAATATCTTTTAATTTCTAAAGTTTGCAGCATTTCAGTGAAATATTATCTTCACATTTCTATCTTTTTTTTTTCTAGTGGGATTAGACTATTGTTATTGTTCTGGTTCTTCATTTGGATTTTATTCTTTCCTCTTGCTAAACTTACATTTGTTCTTTTTGTTTTGATTAGTTGAAGTTAGATGAGAAAGATATGAACACTGGCGACTTTTGGAAGAGACAAATAATTATTGCCAGTATGCATAAGCAACCTGCCAGTTTTGGGATTTATGTGCCTGCAAAGGAAGAGGCTATAGTGGAAGGGGGCAATGTTAGAAGGGTATGTAATTAGTGAAATTGGTTATGTATTTGTAAAATTGAAGAACTACAGATTATTCATTTCTGAATATTGAACATGAGAGGCCAAATTCATCTGGACATGTACCTATTGCATTGTTGAAAAATCTAGTAATTTTCTTTTTGTTCTACAGACAGATGAAACATCATATATTCTCTTTTTTTTTCAAGCAGAGAAAGATGTCTCGTCTTGCCTGTATTGAGAATGAAGAGATGACTAGCATATGTTCTGATGAGGAGTCTGTGTCATGCACGAATGAAATTAAAAATAAAGAGGATCCTAATTTATCTGATGATGAATCTGAGATAGTAGATTTGAGAAATAGAGTTGAACATATGAAGAAAGAGCGTTCTATTCTTTGGCTACGGGAGTTTAAAGACTGGATGGATATTGGTTCTAATAAATTGGTCGAAACCAGGAAAGAAGGTGGAGCTACATTGCATCATCGGAAAGAAAATTACATCAGAAGCAAGACAAATCAGGAGCAACATGGTGAAGTCTCAAGATATGCTTCAGAGTCTGTCCTAGCTTCAGGAGATGACAGTAGCATGAATATTTTAGAATCTGATAGTTCTTTTGTAGAAACATCTGCTGGTTTTCATAGACAGCAGTACTTTGACTATAGAGGTTCACTTGGCAATGCTAGTGGTGGGGCCTTATTTTCTGATTTGGGAGGAGGAGTTAACATGGAGCGTCTTAAATCCATTTCTCTTGAGGGAATTAATTCACTCTCACAATCTAAAAGTTCTCATTCTGATACCATTGTCACTCAAGGACTGCATAAAATGGCTGAAAGTATGAACATCTCACCACTGACTACCATTAATGATAGATCTGGGTCTCAGTGTTCATCTGCATGCCCCACATCCCCTCCTCATTTTCAAGAAGATCTTCTCCATCGCCGGCAACACTTGGTGGAGGAAATTTTGCAGCTGTCTGCAGATTCCTTTTCTGTGGCATCTTCTGATAGTAACACAAGCTGTAGTGAAGTTGATTGCAGTGAATTTGAGCCATCAGGGCCTAAAATTGATGATTTCCCAAGTTATGTCAATGGGAGTGTTGAAGATCACATATCTCAAAATCAATTCAAGGAAAAATTTTACAACCCAAGACAAGGAATTCTTCATGCAAGAGAAAATGGCATTTGCTTGTTTGGTTCATCCAGTGACCAAACTTCGAATCAGCATTCAATTGATTTTGCTGCTAGTGCTGACAATGCTGAAAGTCAAGACAGTAATTTGTTGGAGAAAAGAAAAACTAGAAAAAAGGCCAAGAAGAGAGTTATTTCAATATTAGAAGAGAATTCAGATGGTCATGCATGGGATCATGAACAACTGCAAATGAGTCAAGCACAGATTTCCACAAATTTAAAACGAGAATTGGACATTGCTGATCTCAATGAATTTTCTGGGCATACTTGCTTTACTCAAGCGAATGAAGATTTTATTATGACATATTTCAATACAAGTATTGCTGACTCTGAAGCCAGTGAGATCTGTAGTCATTGCATGCGCTGTAGTTGTATCCTTCAGAGGGAGATGAGCTATAAAGAAAGGTAATTAGCAATTGATTTGATTCATTAGCATCAGTAGCATGTAACTGAATTTGATGGAAGGAATCAAATGGAGAATAACTTCATCTTAAGCAGTTTTGTTTGCTTGGGTCTCTTTTGTTATTTCTGTAACTGTAGTCAAATACTATTAAGAATTGTTGTGTCTACTTTTTAAACTTTTGGTGTTCTTTTCCCATGGTGAGCAACTCATCTGCAAAATGAAATTAGGAAATCCTCAGTTGGTCATTTCACTGAATTCTGAGAATATTTTGTTGCCTAATTACCACGTTTAACCATGCACATTCTCACTTCTATTATTTATACATGGTACCTATCTGTTTCTAATCTTTCTTATAAATTGGCCAGTTTTTCCTTGATACCAACTGATGGAGGTCGTTTCCTATGATTTACTGTTGGTAATATACAAGTTTCAACAGTGTCTACAAGGAGTTACTAAAATATCTGGATTTGTCTAATTGTCCTTCCTTCTCTAAAGTGTTTATATAGAAACTTCTTTTCTATTATCTACTATGGCCCTTTTCTTATGCAGAAGGTGGTTTAGTTAAGTGTAAAGGTCCAAAGTATAGAAGGATTTATATTTATTTTTTGTAAAAAGAAAATGGATTGTTAACCTAATCTTAATTGAAAGGATATTAGAATTTCATAAAAAATGGCTTAAAGCCATCCTTTAAATATCTCAATACTTAACCTTTTGGCATAAAAAAACTTATTCTTGCTTTTTAATTCTATTTTGATTTGAAAGGAATAGTGGATAATATCATAGTTTTTATTAATTATGTGAAACTGATTGTGCTTTAGCTGGCAATCAGAGTAAAACTTAATCCTTTTTAATGTTAGATGAAGTGAAAAGGTATGAATTTTTCATTGATATTTGTTAAATATTTGCATTAGTTTTCTTAATTTTTATCTCTAAGCAGAATCATATAGATAAAAATTATTGTGAAAATTTCTAAAGCACATTTCACAATTGATGTTTCTTATAAAATGAAACAGTCTTGCGATATACATAGGGAAAAAAGTAATTATTACTGGAAGTATTGCTATCCATGTTGTGCTGATTATTGTTCCTGCTCTTAAATTTTTTCACATTCCTGTAATGGCTTATGTATTTTTCCCTCATGTAGAGAAGTTGCAGTATTGCTGAGCAGCCATAAGAAGCTCTATGTGCTGCTGATCAATGTTGCTCCTGATGGGTCAGGTTAGTCCATAACGCTCATTTTTGTTTTGTCAGCAAGAGGAAGTCAATTATTTCTTTTGTTTTTAGTACATTTGTATAGCTCCTTTTATCCATGTTTATCATATTAATTTCTGTAAAATATGAATATCCCCTTTTCTGCTCTGGATGTTAACATGCTTTAGTGCCTGTTTTGGATTTTAGGTGGCTCAAACTGCCTTATGTGTTTTGCTAAAATGAGGTTTCATAACATTTATCATGTTTGGCTGCAAACAGACTTGATACTGCTTCTGTCAGAATTAATTTGTGACAACTCCAGGCAACTTTAGGAATGTTGAAACATACATTGATAATTTACCACAATATGCTAATTTATTTCTCTCTTTATTTGTTTCAAGGTTACAACATTACTTTCTTTTTGTTAATTTTTATCTATAAAACTCATTTTAATTAATCTTATTCAAACGAAAACAGTTCTTTTAAAATGAATTTAAAAAGTCATTCCCAAATCACAAATATATTCTTTTAAAATCAATTCTACAAAAATTCTAAACTAAACGAGCCCATGAAAGGCTTAATTTCATTTCTTCTGACTGCAAACAATGGCATTTCATGCTCATCAAGTTACTAATGTTTTTATTGATGTTTTGTATCTTGCAAAATGAACATCACTTTTAACCCTCTCTTATTAATTCAACAAAATAGATCCAGAAAGCTTTCTCCATTGGTTTTTGCTTTTATAGCTGTTCAAACTTAAAAGCGCTCTTGAATATGTCATCCAGGAACACTTTTGAATGTATTAAGTTGCCGCAAGAACAAAGAAGTTTGTGAGGTGCTTGTTGGAATGGGACTTCAAGTGCTAAGGTTAGTGAACTTGTACACTTACATGGACTAAAGAAAACAGTAACTTTCTTAACGTAATTCTTTTGGCTTGTCAGGGTAACTTTTGAGGGTGGGGAAACATACCTTTTTGTAACAAGAAGCATTGAGAAATCAAGAGAGTTACTATGTACCATACAAGTATATGATTCATGTGGTGGAAATGGTAGATGCTCAATTAAAAGGTGATTAACCTTTTTCCTTATATTTTTGTTTATAAAAAGTGCTTTATGCAAGTATTGATATTACTACTTGCTCTACAGATATTATTTATGAATTTATTGTTCTACTTTTTTCGATTCTTGCTGCTATAATAGACTGGGGTTTTGGAAATTTAAATGGCAGTTTGGAGCAGGTCCAGGTTGAGTTGTTTGACAACCAAGTATGTAATGGTTCAAATGTGAGCATATATCAGTATGCAATGGTGCTCGTCTGTTGTAACAATGGCAGTGGTATGCTTCTCTCTTGTCATTTTACGGTGTAATATTTCTTTTATATTCTATTTTAATGACAATGACTGGTCAATTTTTTCTTCTCTTTTTTTGTGAAGTTACAAGCCTTCTTCAAGATTAATATACAGCTATGAAATTTGAAGATGATATTTTATTAAAAAGTCTCCCAAAACTAGATGTGAAATAGTATTATTGTGAGAAATTGTTTTTAGACGTAGGAAGAATCTGTTCAGTTGGTAGATTATGTGAAACCACTTATGGCAGGAGTTTTCTTCAAGTTTACCTTTACTACTGTCACCCGTTGAAGTTTTGGAAACTATCTTTTATTTTTAACTGTACTAGTATTGGAAATCTTGAAATTTTTGTATTCTTTTATTAATTATCAAGTTTACATTTACAGACATAAAGTTGTCTTTAGTTTTAAACTTACAGAGGAATCATGGCTCTCAAGATCGTTGTTTGTGGTTGGAGGGTATGTGCTTTTATGCATTGAAGATGTTAAGCAGCTGTACTCATTTTCTTCAGATGCATCTGTCTCTCCATATTTCAGGATTGATTTATGTTGCTCCATTGCTGACATTACTGAGATGGTAAGTATACTGTATATCCCAAACACACCACAAAAAATAGTTTGGAGCATTGGCTTGTTCTTTTGTCTTCTTTTTCCCTTCCCGCCCTTTTGATTGACCATTTATTGCTTGGCTTATTGTTTAATGTTACTCTTTCCAGGTCTTTGAGGTTAGTGACAGCTGCTATGTGACTTTAGGCCTGACATGTCCACTGGCAGAATGCCATCAGCCTACCCAAACGAACCTTGATGCTGTCAATCATGGAAACACAGATCAAGGCCCTCTTAAATTGAAGCTTGAGTGGTTCTCCAAAGATAACCTTTTGAAGTTCATGTCTTTGTTGAAAGCAATTCATGCCGAAAAAACGGTGTCTCCTTTGGTAGTAAGCTGTATACCGTAAATCATTTTTGCTCTCTGTTAGTTGATATTCATTCATTGATTTTATTTTGTTTTTCATATTCCTTTTATTTTTAACTAGCTTGCCTGCTCAGTGTGTGTAGCATCGTTTTATTCTTTGATTTTATATCCACGCAGTGTTTTTTGTTTTTGGTTTTCATTGTATAGAATTGTACAGTATCACTGACGGTTACCCCGTTTGTCTTGATCCTCTGCCCTCTTCCCAGATAGAAAATGTGATGAGAAAAATTTTAATTGAAATGTTGCAGTTTCTTTTTTTAAGATACACCTAGGCATATGAAGCTTAGATATTGACTAATTGGATGATAGTTGTAGATTTGAATAGAGTATGGCTATAATATGAAATCTCTTGCGATTTTATAATTCTAGAAGGTATCTTGGAATCTTGTATGCAACTTTTGTTATGTTTACCGCTTGATAAAAGTTTTGCCAACAATTCTGCCCATCATTGTAGGACAATAGATGAGGAATTACTAGATACATGTTTTTAATGAAAAAAAGTGGAGATGCATTGCAAACTTTTAATATTACACTATATGGGAAAATTTTCTCTTAACCATGGCCCTAACCTAATCTCATATTGAAAGTATATATTATTTTTTTCCCAATCAATTACTTTCCATGTCGGTGGTTATCCACTTGTTTATTATTTTATAGAGAGAAAATTAATTCTTAGTTTTTTAATGTAGAAATATATTTTAATAAGAATATATTATTTAAATTAATATATGTACGTATGTCCAAAAACTTTAATGATTTAAAATCAATTTAATTTAATTTAAAACTAAACGTGCAAATCTGTGAATAATTTTAAACATCAATTTGAGTCACAGGTCGTGGGAGGAAATGATCATCTTGTAACATTGAAGGTAATACATATGATTTTAATAATATTATAAGTTGTTGTTATTATTATTGTTAATTATTCTTTTTGGTGGATCAGATCGTTTTCATTTTATATTTTTAATTCCTTACTCGTCAACTCGAATATTCATAAATGTGCTAGGACAGATTTGTTGGTTCTTTATTGAAAAAATGAAAATATTAATGGGTTTGGGCTAACTGGCATTATATCAGGCTGAAGGCGGGCCTCAGTAAGTCTATAGATATTATTTTAAGTACATATTAATATTTCCATTCTGGTCACACTTCATTCACTCCTTCAAACAACGTCCTCGTCCGTAGGCGTACATGCTGTATTATGATTTAATATGTGACCCATCCAACAGTGAGAAATGTTTCAACCACAAGTTTGAGAAGTTCACTTCTTTAAAATGTTGTGAACACACAAACGTCTTTAACGAGGAGAAAGAAGAATAAGAACAAAGAACCGAAAGGAAATTATGTCAATAAGAATGCGGTTGAGTTCAAATGGCTCTTACACTTGGTGAGCGATAACTTAAGTGATGTTATGATAGACCATATGATAAAACTACCAACATCTCTAGCTCTATGTGAAACAAGAAATTAGTTTAATTACAATGACAAATGAACCATTAATAAGTACTTTTTTTTTTCCAACATGAATAGCTATGCTGAATATTCGAAGGAACTGTGTTTTTATTTATTTACAATGGAATGTTCTATTAAAACTATTTTAGAAATTGTAAATTGTATGTTATATCAAATGATAGATTTTTTTTTTCTCATCTAGTTTAATTTACATCTAATTCGAATCGTGCAATTAGGTGTAGTAGGTGAGTCTATTACTAAAGATTTTTTATATACACAAAAATTCTAATTAAAGACTTTGATTAAAATATCAAACTGTTTGTCACTCAAACTAATCTTTATTGATAAACGATGGATATATTTATAAACAAAAGAATATATTCTTGGGACGAAAGAGGGTCAATTTCTCCCATTGATGAAGATAAGCTGCTCAACGATCCGTCTATAACCTCTTCTCTAGATAATACTAACATTTAACCCGTAGACTGTAACGTGGAATGTCGATGATATCTTCAACATGGCAATTTGTATTGCTATTTTATTATATGTATAACAAGTCCTAAAGTTTTGACATAATGTGCATTTGAATGCAATACTAGAATACATTTGTGTTCAAGACGTACACGTATTCATGAAGATGACGGTGAAGAAGGAAAAATCCACAGAATGAAATCTTCCTATACATTATCCCAATTCAGTGCCGCCACTTTGTCAAAATTTTATAAAATAGTATTGCTATTTCTTTTTTTTTTTATTTTTTAGCAACAGCATTTCTTCGAGAAACACATGAGATCTAGTTCATAACCTGGCCCTCTAATAGGCCCAAGTACGGCCCAAATCTGACCTGCTTAGGGTTTCCGATCCTCCTCCTCCTCCGACGAATCTATAAAAGCATGTTAGTAGTACTGTATCACACATCGGAAAGAGACAGAGTTGGTTCTTTAGCAGTGTTTCATGGATCTGTTATTCTGCCGAATGTGTATGTTTTTATTTTTATTTTAGTCACACTGATTACGTTTAAATTTAGGAATTTATGAAAAGGGAAGAAAAGGCAATGGTTAGCGTTACTGATGCGTATTGCTTGATGAATAGCGTATTCAGCCCTTTACGTTGCCGAAAGTGATGATTGAGCACTTATGCTTGCATTTCCCGTTCTTTCCGTACGGTTTTTGCATTCAGATGCTCCCACACTCTTCTGTTTGTATGATTATTGTTTTCCAAAACACTTTCTTGATTTCATAGACTAAAACATTAATTGCTGTACCTCGTCGAATTTTTATTATAGTATTCAAATTGGCTTTATCTTCAGAAGTAGTTGTTTTTAAAACTGTTTTTTGTTTTAGATTTTGCGTTACTTATATTACTTATATATATGGATATTCCTTTCTTACATATTCAATCTGGTCGCTGGCAATAATCAAAATCAAGAGAAGGGGGAGTTTATGATTGCACCACTAGTTTTCAGTCGTCAAAGTTCAAGATAAGAGTTGGAATATTGATATCAATATTTAAGAATGAATGATCCCCAAAAAATTACTTAAGTGGGCTTGGATCAATCGGGACTGCAGAGTGATTAATAGCATATCTGCAACTGCATATTTATAAATTGAAAAGGCATTGAGCAATTGAAAGTTGTGATTTTATTCAATATTAAGATTTTCATCAAAGCAACTCAACCAAGCCCCCAGAAGAGAATCGTCAGAAGCAAAAACAACTGAAAGAACCAATTACTCGCTTGATGGGGTGAAGCAAGTGATGGAGGTTAAGATATTGCAAAGACACTCTGTCAGTGGCGAATGGTTCTGCATGCATTGCATTGCCCTCTGCCTTCAGCTGCATGCCCCGAATATGATAGTACTTTGAATCCATCCCATGATATTCAGCTGAGGAAGACAATATCCTATGCTGGTGTTGATGAATCATAGTAATCTATTTCCCTAGTGCATGAACCATGATTCATGAATGTGGAACTAATTAGAGGGAACCGGCCTTTGGAACATTTAAATAATGATTTTGCGCTGCCATCTTCTCAAGATAAACATGAGATTAGATACTCAGAATTTTCTGCCGAAATGTCCCCACAGGCACCATTGTTTCTCCCTTTCCTAATTACGATACTTTAACATATTCTATACATAATAACCCTTTAATTCTACCTTATTCCTAAAATCTTATAACTAGATCTCTATGTTAAAATGATTTTACTGTTAACAGTTACTTAATATTGATCCTTTTATTTTATGAAATCGATTTGCACATTAATTTAAAATTAATTATTATGAAATTTTATGGTTGATACTTGATATTAAAAAATTAGAACCAATTTGCAGTACTAATTCCTAGATATTCATTGTTCAGTGACTAAATTAGCATAAGTTTAAAATAATGTGAGGTTTGATTGCAAACCTGATATCACACTTCATGCAGATTATTCATAACTATAAAACATAAGAGGAAATTAATGTATCTCAATATTTTGCCGTAAACATTGAAACCAAATATTCCACCAATGCATTTAGAGGGATTGAATCAGATGTTTTTACGGAGTATGCCACTAAGAACTTCTTGATAGACTATATAATTCAAACATAACGATGAAGTTTGACTACTAAAAAGGAAAAATTAGAACAAAAGGCACGCGATATTGGCGCGGCTCAATCAGATCACAGAGTCAAGCCATATTGATTGAAACTATGATCAGTTTGAACCGTTCCAACACCTCGGGTAGGTGCCTAACTTAAATTTGTCCTTTCAGAACCTGAAATTGAAGAACAAAGTGATGCTTCACAATTTGTACAGGGAAGTGACCCATTATATATAGTTAGTGTAGCCACCAAATTTGTATGTTAGTATATGAGTGTAGAGATTAGTCCATTGATTTGGTGGATTGAGAAAACAAAGAGAATGCTCCAAAAGGAATGTGTACTGAACTGATCTCTCTAAGATTGCCGGCTAGCTTCTACTTATAGCCGGCTTTTAATTCTCTTAATTTCTTCACCTTTCATCATTGATAATCTCTCTCTTCCCTCACTCGTTAGCTGTGAGATTTTTCCAAATGTTTATGCGTCCTCTCATAAAGTAATAACCTGAATCAAAAGTGGGCACTAAGACTCCATGAATCCTTTTGTACCTGTACTTAACATTCCACTTTATGCTCCAATAAGTCCGCATTTACTCAAAGTTTATTGTTGTTTCCCTCACTAATATTACACAGTTGCACAACTTATATTTTATACCCTTTTCATCTTTTATGGGACTTGTATGTGCCTATGCTTATAGGCAAGTGAAGAACTTATTAGTGATTTTTCCTTATAAAAATATTGCTGATTTTTTTTTTTTTTGGTCGTGTTAATGCTGAACTAAATTTTGAGTAAATCTTGAAATTCAATGCATTTTGTTTCAAGTTTATTATTAAATTAGATATAAACACGTGTGTTGCATAAATATTATAAAATATAAAAAAAAGTTGATGTTTTTAATTTATTGAAGCATATAAAATAATAAGCAAATAAGATATAAACATAAAATCATAATTAATACTATTAATGCGTTACTATTATGTTCAATCAAAATAATGTTATGGTTTTACTTGATCAAAAGCTTCTTAAAATTTTCCTTATAATGCTTATTATTATGATTGAGTATCGTGTATATTGTACACATAGAACAAAAATTATCAAGTTAAAAATATTGAATTTTAAAAAGAAGACACAATGCAACATATGTTGCAAATTATAAGTTTATTATATCAAACTAAAACAATATTTAATAAGATTTTTCAAAAGAAAATTGATTAATAATATTTTTTCCACACTAACTTACCATGGATTATTGGATTCCATAAATTTAAAGTGCTCGTAGCTAACTGTAAAAATTAAATCTTTCATGTATTTATAAAATCATGTATTAATATATTATATATCATTAAGAAGAGTAACTAACAAAAAGAAAAGATATTTATAAAATGAAGTGTCAACAACATAAATTGTTGAAAAGATATTTGTAAGATTAAAATTAGAATAAGAGATCGATGAAATAGAATGAAAAGTATTGAACAAATATTTAAGTGCGTCAAGTAAACTATGGTGAAATAAATTAGAAGGATAACAGAAAAGAAATTAAGAATAGTTTTAGATTTTATAAATGTAGCATAAAAGCAAGATATACTTGACATAACAATTTTTTAACCTATCATCAATTTTAAAGTCTTCTATATATTTTATAAATAGATTACGTGCATGACAAACATGCTAGTTTTGTCCTCTTTCTTTGTTAATTATTAGTGTTGAAAAACATGCTACTTGCGCGCCTTGCCAGCTCCAAATGCTACCATTAAAGTTTATGAGAAGCAACAATTAATGGAAGCTAAAGGCGTCTCTAGTGCCGAGTGAAACAAAACTAAGCCATTCTTCGGTACAACCAAAGCAAATTTAACGACAAACCCAAGGGGAAACGGAAATGGACTCTTCCAAAGTCTGCCGTCTGAAGCTTTGTTCTCCTTCAATATCATTCACAAGTCACCACTCTCCATCTCATTCAAATACTTTCATTTTAACCGCCACCTTTTGTCTGTATTTCATACCTCCCATTGCTTTTATACCATTCACATCTCAACTTTAGCGCTTTAAAGTCCCTTAACACCACCAATCAGAGAGGGGCAAAAGTGCTTGCTAAGTACATTGCAATGGCAAGGCTAGATAGAAAAGATAGAAATAAAAGTCTAGAGAGTCTAATGGTTTTGGACAAGCCAGGAATGGGAAGAAATGTGAATCAACTGAGACCCCAGAAGTCCATTCCTGGGTATGGCCTAGAATTCAGTAACCTCTCTTATAGTATCATAAAGCAGCAGCAGAAGGATGGAGTTAAGATCAACAAAAAAACATATCTTCTTCATGATATCACTGGCCAGGCAATAAAGAGTGAAATTATGGCAATCATGGGGCCTAGTGGTGCTGGAAAATCCACCTTTCTTGATGCCTTGGCTGGCCGAATTGCAAAAGGGAGTCTAGAAGGATCAGTTCGAATTGATGGAAAGCCAGTAAATATTGAACTCCTACTGTGTTTTCAAATAGATTTAATTTGTACTTTTCACCCAAAAAAAAGTCATATTTTCACTTTTCTTTTCGATTTAGTTTAAGAATATGCTCTATTATCATGCAGGTTACTACAAGCTACATGAAAAGGGTGTCGTCATATGTGATGCAAGATGACCAGCTCTTCCCTATGTTGACAGTCTTTGAAACATTCTTGTTTGCAGCTGAAGTTAGGCTTCCACCCTCCATATCCAGGGATGAAAAGAAGAAGAGGGTTTACGAGCTCATTGATAAACTAGGCTTACAGGTATAGATAAACCTTTGTCTAACATACTTACACCGACACACATAAAATGACAGATTAATGACTCTATGACTGTTCAGAGTGCTACACATACCTACATAGGTGACGAGGGAAGGAGAGGAGTGTCAGGAGGGGAACGAAGAAGAGTATCTATAGGTGTAGACATTATCCATAAGCCATCACTTCTGTTTCTTGACGAACCTACCTCAGGCCTTGATTCTACAAGTGCTTACAGTGTGGTAGAAAAGGTTAAAGACATAGCTCGGGGTGGAAGCATTGTCCTTATGACCATACACCAGCCTTCATATAGAATTCAAATGCTTCTGGACAAGATCACCGTCCTTGCAAGGTGAAAATTAAAGAGCCTATATATATTCTTATAGTTGATAAGCTAACTCATACATAATGTTTATCTGACTGACTGATGAGCCTGAAATGGGGAATATGTAAACTTCATTACATTGACCATCTGAAACTTACGGGTAGACCAAATAAGATGTTGAACATGTTTATGAAATGATAATAAGTTATAACTGTATTTCAGAAACTTACAGGAAAACCATTCTGGGACTCCTGGCATAGGTCCACATTTTGAATCCAAGGCCTTAGCTTGAAGTTGCATGATAGGTATATGATTAATATGTCAAAAAAGAGGAACTCCTTCTGTTATTTTACATGGATGAACTAGAATAATATATTCACGACATCCACTTGGGTCTAATGAGCAGATTGGATTTTGGTAGAGATTAGAAGCGCTAGGAAGAACTGGAGAGTTTATTTAAACTTAAAAATTAGTATATCAGTGTCATAATTTTTTTAAAGCCTTTTTTAGCTTATTCCAATAAATTTTATGATAATTGATAAAAAAAAGTCTCATATAATAGGAGCAATGTAATCAAATAGATTCATTGTATGCTCAATTTTATTCATGTCCAAAAATAAATTGATCGTTACTAGATTTGCTATTGCATTGAATGGGTTATAGGGGAAGACTGATATACATGGGAAGGCCAGATGCACTTCAGGCTCACATGTCAGGATTTGGAAGGCCTGTACCAGATGGAGAAAACAGCATTGAGTATCTCCTAGATGTTATAAGTGAATTTGATCAAGCAACGGTTGGGCTTGACCCTCTAGTCCAATACCAACGTGATGGCCTCAAACCTGACCCAGTAGCAACGACACCTGTTCTAAGAACTCCAAGAACACCCTACAGAAGGAATCATCCTGCATCTAAGCACATGATAAGCCTACGCAGCCAAGGATTTACCGCTGGAACACAACAACCAGATTCAGCACAATTTAGTTATCATGATGAGGACAACGATGAAGAGAATTTTGATAACTCCCTTGAAAGGAAAAGTGTTCACAGTCACACACCAAGGACCATGACCAGTGGTGTATACCCACGTTTGGCTTCTCAGTTCTACAAAGATTTCTCAGCCAAAGATTTCTCCGTCTGGCTTTACCATGGGGTAGTAGGAACCCCGCGTCGCCAACCATCATGGACTCCAGCAAGAACTCCAGGATGGACACCAGGGAAAACACCCATGTCAGGATCAAGAAGCGTAGTTTCCAACCAATATTCTGCAGCATATCAGGAACCTTATCGGCCCAAAACTCCTGCAGTGTTTAACCAGTCTTTGGACTACTCAGCAACTTCATATGAAGAGTTTGAGACTGAGGAAGTGCTTGATGAGCCAAGCTTTGGATCCAAATATGCAAACCCATGGTTACGTGAGGTTGTAGTGCTCTCATGGAGAACAGCACTCAATGTAATTCGCACACCGGAACTCTTCCTCTCCCGTGAGATTGTGTTAACTGTTATGGCAGTTATCTTGTCCACCATTTTTGGAAATCTGAGTGATACTACTTTCAAAGACATCAATAGGCTTCTCAATTTCTATATCTTTGCAGTGTGCCTTGTTTTCTTTTCTTCCAATGATGCAGTCCCATCTTTTATCATGGAAAGGTTCATCTTCATCAGGGAGACTTCCCACAATGCTTACCGTGCTTCTTCATATGTCATTTCTTCCCTCATTGTTTATCTCCCATTTTTCGCTGTTCAAGGCCTCACATTTGCTGCAATAACCAAACTGATGCTCCACTTGAAAAGCAGTCTCTTGAAATTCTGGCTAATACTTTATGCCTCACTTATCACCACCAATGCATATGTGATGCTTGTTAGTGCACTTGTGCCTAGCTACATCACAGGGTATGCAGTAGTCATAGCCACAACAGCACTCTTCTTTTTGACCTGTGGTTTCTTCCTCAAGCGAACCCAGATACCCATTTACTGGAAGTGGCTCCACTATCTTTCTGCAATCAAATACCCATTTGAGGCATTGCTGACCAATGAATTCAAGAATGACCGTGGCTGCTACACAGGAAACATAGCAGAATTATCCCCTGGACCATTAGGAGACGTGAAGTACAGCAAACATCATAATACCAGCCTTCCTGAAAACTGCTTAGTAGGAGAAGATGTGCTGTCCACAATGGGCATTTCAATGGAAAATATATGGTATGACATCATCATCCTGCTAGCTTGGGGTGTTCTTTACAGGCTGTTCTTCTATTTGGTTTTGAGATTTTACTCTAAGAATGAGAGAAAATGAATCATTTACACCCTTTTATATATTTGGATGACCTATTAGTTAATAGAAGTCCCGGCCTGCTAAAAAGCTTAAGGTCATAACAATCACGTTTTTTCTGGTATTATTGCTATGATACTCATGAGAACTCATCATATTCTGTTGAAGATTGTAGCTTATACTTTTCTGTCCTAAACTGAAAGAGTGAATGGCAAATTGACAATGCTTACATCACGTTTATGAAAATACCACAGTTAATTGTTCTTGGAAGAACAAAACACCATCATAAGTGAACGTGTGCTATGGCAGGAAAAGATGTAACTTTGCGACAGTTCAAGAGTGAGTCATGTTAAAATAGTCCTATCAATTACCATATCTTGCATCCTCAAGTCACATACACAAGAGTTAAGCTTCAGAATGGCCTGGCTTCAAAATTAAAAAAAAAAAGTGAAACTGACCCACCCACAACTTTCCAAAGAGGTACTCGTCAACAAAGTTGAGTACTTCTGTCCCCCCACTACAGTCATCATAAACCTAAAATCAGCTTGAAAATGTGAAACTTCACCAAATCAACATTAACATTTTCTATGTGCAATCAGACAGGAAAAACAAGCCATAATACATTGAAACTCTCGATTAATCTTTGCCTATGTATGACATTATGGACATGTAAACAGAAGAAACAGCAAGGAAATGTTAATGTTCAGGGTTCTTATAAGGTGTTCACTTAAAGAAGGCCAGCATGTTGCTCAATCTTCCTTTCAAGTGTACTTTTGTCCGCCCCCACCACACTGTCAATCTCCTTGCCATTTTTAACAAAGAAAAATGTAGGAACACTGCTAATATTCCAGCGGGCAGCAACATTCCTTGCCTCATCTATGTCAACTTTCAGGAAAACCACTTTTGGGTACTTTTCAGCCAAGCTTGTATAAATAGGCGAGATGAAACGGCAAGGGCCACACCATGTTGCAGTAAAATACAGGATCACCAAGCGTGATGTCTTTGACGCAGCACTCAGCTTCGACTCCATTTCATCAGTAGAGTGAATAGCAATGACTTGCCCTTTAGAATGCCACAAACGTAATGTCATTGAATTAATAATATAAATCACCCACATCTCAATTTAAATTCCAATGAATTGCAATATATGGACCTCAAAAATATCTTTTAACTTGATGGATCAAAGGAAAAGGGGAATGGACACATGGAAAATAAAGACAATGGCAAAATAGATAACTCTTTAGGAATAAAAAAAATATCAGCCAATATGTTGGGAATGATCCGCAAGAGTCAAAAGTATAGTTTTTCTATATCTTGTTAGGATTTTGTTTAATAGAACTGAATTTTTAGTTCAATTTGGCAATACAACATCTTTCCTCTCTACATCCCATAACCATAAAGTTGGGCCCAATTTGCAAACTACTCTTCAAATCACATAACCAAGCAAGGTTTGTGCTAAACAAAATTCAAGCCAACAGACACGCGTTTCCATAAACCAACAAAGAAAACAGGCCAAAATGCCTATATAAATGACAATAAATTGCTAATAAACGATGAATGAAATGCCTGAAGCAAGGCAAGTTTTTTTCTAATGAAGAATTTTTTATGCAACATTTGCTGGGAATAGAGTAAACGTATATCTGAATATCCAAAAAAGATCCAACACTAGTCATTATCTTGAAAATTGAACCCCACAACCAAAATAATGAAGTTTTAAGGCTCTAAATTCTAATACAATTGAGGAATTATGAAAAAATCTGCACACTAACCCTTTTATCAGAACCACAGGAAGAGTATGATGCAGGAATAGAACCAGAAAATGAAGTATGGTGCACCACTTCTATTTTTTGCTTTACCCAAAAGATAAGCAAATCAACGAAAAGATAGTGCAAATTTTGATACATTCAGGCAGACAAAAATACAAAGACTCACCATCTTTTAAAACAGATAATGCTTCTTCAACCTGAAAAAAGTACAAAAGAATTTTCAGCTATAACTCGATAATCTTGTAGCATTGTTACTAAAGTGCAGACGAAGCCAACAACTTTCCAACACTACACATTGCATTCTCATCATGATAGGAAATAATGAAATTGGACAACTACAATAGAAGTATGAATTCATAGGAAATTAGGTTTTGTCGTATCCTACATCTCAATGATGACATGAATAGTAGCCTGGAGAAAGTAAATCCAATTTAGCCTTGAATGATAATAGTATGAGATAAAATCAACTATAAGGAGACTAGAACATAACCAGACTACTAAACTAAGATGAAATTATATGCTTCTGCTTAAATTCTATTTCATAAAGTAACAAATTCCAGCGAAGACCCAAGTAAGAAAAGGTAATGATCCAAATTACCAACAATTTTTTTTTTCTACAAATGATGCTGATTAATTAATCCTTAATATGTCACCCAGTAAAAAGCCTAACTATAACAAAGATTGTTCAATCATGGAAACTATACACTATACTTACTGAGGCTTCAGTTTGTTGCTCCTTCTTAATATGAACTGATTGAACTCTTTTATGCTCCTTTTGCTTTCTTAACCGTTCATATTTTCTCCTATGCTCCGCAATTTTGTGCGCATTAGGTTCAACCTGTCCAGTCAAAAGATATAATTACGAAATAAAAAAGTATTCCTCCTTCAGGTTCCATCTGTAGAAAGTAAGCAAATTACCTTTTTAAGTGCCATCGCAATCTCTTCATCGTAATCTAACTTTGAAGCCACACGAAGGTCACCTGCTGCTTCTTCCCATAGTCCCAACATAGCCCTTGACATTCCTCGTATTTTGAATCCTTTAGCCGAATCCGGATTAATCTGGAACAAATAATATATCTTTGAGAACACACATTCGTGGCACAGAAATTCCTTTTATGCCATGCTTTCTACAAACCAAGATAGGAATAAATCAACCTTCACGGCAGTGTCAGCATCGCGGATAGCAGCATTTGGTTTCTTCAATTTCATAAAAACACTAGCTGAAATCAAGAAATTAAGGTTTTCAAGGAATGATGCAGAAGCTAAAACGCGCAATAAAAGCTAGAAAATAAATACTGAGAGGAATTTATCAAAGACATTTGATTCCACAACACACATTCATGCGCATGAATGTGTACACGCACGGGCACACATAGAGAGAGTACCTCTAGTAGCATAAAGTATAGCTGAATGCGGATTCAACAAAATGGCTTCTGTCAGTTGGTCCAGTGCTTTGTCCAACATACCTGTAAAAACATCGAAGAATTAAAAGAATGTCCAAGAAAAAAAAAAAAAAAGAATTGAGAAATTTTGAAAATACTCATAATGGTTCAAACTTGAAAGGCATTGCCTTGTGATATAGCATCAACTGCTTTTGATTTTGCTATTTGTGCAGCATCCCTCTGTTCATCCGTTACTTCAGCAGAAAGATCACCCATCTGCCATCAAATTTAAATTCCGTTACTTGGGCATGACAGTGACAGTGACTTCATTCAATACATATAACATAACATAAGAAACCTTTTGAGGAGGGTCATTATCAGGTTCAACAACATCAGCATCATCCAACTCTATATCAGATTCTACAATGTCATGTTCATCTTGTGCGAATGAATAAGGATGCGGCTTCTTCTCATCATAATCCTCTGGTTCCTGGATATAATCAGATTTAGGGTGAGTAATAACAGAAAATCCCTAAATTGATTGTTTGGTATAGAAGTAAGAAGAAGAAAATAATGGTAAATGGGCAGAATGCGAAAAGCACCGTTTTGGGCTGGGGAGGGATGCGAGCACCGAGGCTGGAGAAGATAGAAAGGGAGAAGAGTTAGTTAATAGTTAGAGAGTTGAAAGAAGGGAAGAGAAGAGAAGAGAAGAGAAGAGAATGAAACCTGAGAAGATAAGACTTGAAGAAGGAAAGAGAAGGGCTGTGGAGAAGTGAAGGATTGGATTTGCATGCCTCTATGAATTGCTTTAGCTCTCTAACTTTTGCAGCATCCATAGATGATCGATAGATACCACTCTTCACTCTGCAATTTAGGATTTAGGTTTCGAATTCACTGCACTGCTTCTGCTTTCAGCTAACAATTTCACTTCATTTGCATTTTATACTCACTCAATCGTGTCTTGTTATTTTATTTTATATTTTAATTTTTTTTAATATCAATTTAAATATCTTAGAATTATGATATTAAATAAATTCTTTAAATGATATCAAAATTTTAATTTAGTAAGTCATTATTCAAAATAAAAATTAATTTTATGTATTCAAAAAAATTAAATTAGTGTATTGTATAAATCTTAAAGAATCAAAATATTAAATTTTATTTTTTTCTTTCATGTTATATATATATATATAAAGCACTTTCTCAACAAGTCATGAAAGCTGAATTTTGCCAAAGTAATTTTTATGTTAAAAAATAGTCTTATGAAAAATATCATATTTTAAAGCCCCGTCTTCCGTCATATTAAAAAATGACAATTAAATCAAAATTTAATAAAACTCATAAAATTAATTGTAATAGATAAAATATTTATACATTAAATAAGATTATGCATTTTTATACAATATGAATATTATACTACGCAATTATATTCTTACATACGTAATATATTTATTATATTTCATAACTAGTATTTGAATTTTTTAAATAAGTCAAACTCAAAACTAAGATTAAATTCATACTCGATGATAATATAAGTATTATTTTAAATGTAAGTATAAAAACAGTTATTAAAATATTTTACTAAATCCTGCTCATTTTAACGCTATTAGATGTATAGATAAATTGAGGGTTTAAAATTTAAGTTTGACTTAAAAAACATAATTTAACTCATTTATTTAAGTTTAATTTGATTAAAAATTTTAAAGCATGATATGCACTCATTAATTTATTTATAATTTTTTGTATTAAATGTCTTTCTTAATAAAATTTTATTTAAATTAATATTTAACATATACTTTTTTGTTAAAATAAAATAATAATAATAATCATAATATATAATTGTTTTGTTCGCGAAGATACTTAGTATAGAAGTAATCTATTTTGCAATGAAAATGGAAGCGAGAATCTCTGCTTTCTTGCAAAGTTGTTTGGGCTTATTTCGGGCTTAGTTCTTTCTTATTGGCCTCTTATTCTTCCGCTTTTAGCCTTCAAGCTTTTTTTCTTATAAATTTCTTGGATATTCTAAATAATGAAAAATGCAAAAAAAAAAAAGTTTTCTTTTGTGGCTATTTCTTTCTTTTAGCAATTTTTATTATACTAACCAAAACAATAAAAAAAAACGTGTCAAGAGAAAGCAATCAATTATTCTTAATATGGACAAAGATTCTTTATAATAACTATATCTTACAATTAATATTTTTTTTCATTTTTATTTAAGCAAAAATACAAAAAATTACTAACTATGAAACATAATTTGCACTAAAAAAGGTAAGAATCCCGATTATATTGGAGATTTTCGTTATTATTACTCAAGCAAGTATGAAACGTATACTTGCATATTCATCTACAAGTCAAATTAGATATATAATTATTAAAATAATTGTTAGAAACTCAAATGGTAGATATACAAGCATGATAATTTAGTATTTTTTTTTATTTTTATTTAAATAAAAATAAAAAAAAAGCAGAAAAAAAGTAAGAATCCTAATCCTACAGGCACAAACATAAGGTTAAAGCATTCTCATCTTATTCACAAAAAAGAAATCTCATCTTACAACATATCACATCAACTTGCTAAAAAAAAAACCCTTTGTTTGAGGCATATTACATATCATGCACCTAAATGCTTTCATTTTCACTTTATGTGCTTAGATGAAAATCTCAATAATTAAAAAATATATTTTAATAATGTTCTAAATGAGTATATTTAACTGTAAATTTCATCCATTACCTCGCTATTTTGTCCCTTTTTATATCTAACAAAATGTGAACCTAAAATTTTAATCCCTTTTTATGTTCATTGCAAATGTCTATAAGACATCAGTGATTTAACAAAATGATTACTTTAAAAAAACTAGCACGCATCTGTCTAAAAATTATTCTTATCTTTAAAATCCTTAGCTATTGTTCATTTATGTTGAGATTTAATTGATATTTTTTAAAATTTTGAATTTAATTAGAATACATGACAACGTAAAGTATTCAATCATAAATTATCATGTCAACAAAAATTGTTGAATTTTACAATAATTAATTTAAAAATTAAATTAATATCATTTTTTTTCAAGTTTATGTTATTAGCATCAAGGTTAAAATGAGTGTTCAATTTTTTTTCATTTAAACCAAAATCAGGTTCGAACTAACTGCTAAATGCAATCAAGTGGTGTCAATTTGTCACAGCAGACATACTAAAACGGTCATCAACTTTAAAAGAAGATGGAGAATGAATGGGACAGCAATAATCAAGAGACAAATGCATCCCACGTAGTAATAAAATGGTGGGATGCCAATATTTGTTTCTCTCACATCACTTTCTGATTATTTTGTTTCGAACCTTTTGTAAAGGGTAGCCCCTCCATATATTAACAAAAAAGACCAGGGGGGCCTAGAGCCAACAAAATATGGCCATGAGCCATAACTAGTATGTTTGTATTTGTACACTATTTCTGGGCCACTGTAGAGTTACAATTATAAGCACCTACTCAGAAATGTATCACACATAAAAGTTTGATCTTTCATCGTGTATTCTCAACTGACGCCTATTCGCTGCCAATCCATGGATTGATGTTTAAATTTCAAAATCAACATTAAGAAAGGTTAAAAAAAAAACATTTAAACAACTCATGCTTAGTCATTCTGACAAAATTGGCTTGTGGGGACCAATATAGCTGACCTTTGATGAGGAATACTCCTGAAATATCCCAGTGTCAAGATTTTTTATTTAATTAATTTCCTAGATTAAACCTTTGCAAGAGTCATATCAGATTAATTAGACTTGTTTGACACACATTTATGATGTAAACAGTATACACCGTAACAATCGCATCTTTTGCATGTATGCCATACCTTTCTGACCTTTGATTTCATAAAATCACCTTGACAATTCATCCATACAGCACCTAACAATTTACCCTTTCTGTAAAGATATTCTTATTCTTTTTTTATTTCTTTCTGATTTGGGCATTGTATTGTATAAATAAATCTTAAACCAACTGGCGAGAGGAGGATGGATTAATCAAAGTTGGTTCCGAGTATAAATCACCCATATTTACCAAGGTGGTGATCACGTTCACAACAATTTTTTTGGCAACAATTAAAGAAGCGATACACGGCACCGACGAGACATGGCAACCAACCAACGAAAGCGACTATAACATCTCAATTACAAGATTTCAACAGATATAAGGTTTCAACAAAAGCAAAAGCCATGTTAAAGCAAAAGTAATAATTACAATCAACCAGAATCCAACAACAATTACTACTGGAACAGATATCCACTCCCCCCAAGGTATTTTAATTGGGAAGAAAAAGGGAACATGGCACAATGGGGATTTGAGGAGAAAAGAACTGAAGAAATTCAAAGTTTGGTGCCAACGAAATTTGAGGCCCAAGCTACACAATACAACATACGCACAGGATTTAGCAAGTAAAATATGGGCTCTGACTGTGATAAAGCAAAGTCCACCGTGTAAGACGGTGGCAAATGCAGAGCAAACTCATTGAGAAGATACATCTTCTATAATTCTAAGTCATTGATCGGGTCATGTTGGATTTGGTCTTGGTCCTCTTTCAAGCTGGACCGGCACAACTCTTCTATTGTCCGTGCCACTTCAGACATTGAAGGGCGCTTGTCCGGGTATTGTGCTGCACAATCCACTGCAAGTTGCAACAACTGAACCATCTCCTCTTCAACATTCTGGTACCTAAGGAGCTCAAGATCAAAGACCTCAGAAGTCCACTCTTCTCTGACCACGGATTGAACCCATCTGGGCAGGTCTACTCCTTCCTCATTTAGGAGAGCATGAGTAGGTGCCTTCCCAGTCAGAAGTTCCAAGAGCAATACGCCAAAGCTGTAGACATCTGCCTTTTGAGATACTTTGCGAGGATCAGTTACCTCAGGCGCACGGTAACCAGCAACACGGTTGGGTGTAGAGGAGGGACCAACAAGGTGTGCAAGGCCAAAATCAGATACTCTGGCATCGTAGGATTTGGTTAAGAGGATGTTCGATGACTTTATATTTCCATGAGAAACATTAGGCCCTTGCAAATGTAGGTACTCAATGCCACGGGCAGCTCCAAGTGCGATGCCTGACCTGACTTCCCAATTCAGTGGCGTCCTACCCGCTCCTTTGTTACCTGTAATAAAAGACCAGAAACATCATTCTACCACTGTTCTTGCTAATAAATGAAACTTTGGCTCAGGCCGTGTTTCGCATAGTTCCAACGAGATCTATGGAATATGTGATATGAAATAAACACCGCCAAATTTCAAGTCGACTAAAAGAATAGTAAAAGTGAAACTGAGTTATCACTAGCCTAATAGCAGCACATGGATAATTCAGACAAATAGCCACATTTCCTATCCAATTGGGACCCAAAAGACACGATGCGAAATCAAATCTTCACAAACCCCATATGGGATATATCAGGAAACAAGTGAACTGCATCTAAGATTCTCTCTAATTCCTAAAGCACGCAACAGATGCAACTGGAATGAACAATCACCAACATTGCCATGATGCATTCCCACAAAAAGAAGGTCAATTGCAGTAATCATTGCCCAAGAATTGACTAATAAGCACAAATCTTAGAAAAAGGGAGAGAAATGGTGAAAAGCTGACCATGCAAAAGTGCAGACAAGCTTCCGACGGGCATGTAATCATAGACAAGGAGCTTCTCATCCCTGCTGAAATAGTAAGCCCTGAGAGGGACCAAATTCTCATGATCCATTGCTCCCACCGTTTCAATCTTCTCCTTGAACTCCTTCTCGGAAATCGTCACATCCTTCAATCTCTTCACAGCCACCACCGGCCCCGCCTCCAAAACCGCCTTATACGCCGTCCCGAATGTCCCTTTCCCCAAAACCTCCGCCGAAGCCCTAAGCAAATCCTCCAGATCAAACGCCCTCGCCGAATTCCCAAAAAACACCAACTTCTTCGCTCCCCCGCCGTTGGCCTCCGCCTTGTTCCCACCCCCGCCGACGCTGCTCACAATCGCCGCAGCCGCCGCAGCAGCCACAGAGTGTCCATTCCCGTGACCCCCATTCTCGACGTCGGAAACACTCTTCTCCGCAAGAACTTGGGATTCAGGATGCTTCAGAGCAGCAACATCAACCGCGCTGGTTTTTTTATCACTCTTGTTCCTGCACGCAAGGATCAAAACGAACGCAACCAACAGAAGACACACGACGGATCCAATAACGATTCCAGCAATGGCACCACCAGACAGCTTCTTCTTCTTCTTCTGGCCGTTTTCGTTATTGTCAACGGCCAAGGGAGAAGTAGGAGAAGTTCCATCTCCGGCACAGGGAGAGAGTGGTGAGCCACAGAGGGAGTTACCGAGAAAGGAATCTTTAGGAAATGTGCGAAGCTTGAGAGGCACTGAGCCGTTGAGGAGGTTGTTGGAGACGCTGAACTGGTCGAGGCTGAGTTTGTTCAAGTCGGGGATTGAGCCCGAGATTTGGTTGTTTTGGAGGATGAGGGTTTTCAACCGTGTAAGGTTGTTGAAGGCCGTCGGAAATGGGCCGGAGAAGTTGTTGAAGCCCATGTTGAGACGAACCAAGTCGGGTAAGTCGAAAAGGAAGGTTGGGATTTGGCCGCTGAACAAGTTGCGCTGCAAGTAAAGGTTGCGGAGGTTGACGCAGGAGGCCAGATCTGAAGGAAGGGGACCCGTGAGGGCGTTGAAACGGAGGCTCAAGGTTCGAAGCTGAGTCAGGTTTCCGAATATTCCGGCGGGGATTTGCCCGGAAAGCGCGACGCCGGGGAGGTGCAGCTCGACGACGTGGTCGTGCTCGCACTGGACCCCCGCCCAGTTGCAGGGGCTCTGATTGGTGGCGTTCCAGAAGAGTGTTCGACCCCTCACGGCTGAGCGCAGAGCCAACAATGCGGCTCGCTCGGAAGCCAGATCTGCTTCGGCTAAAAGCGTGAGCGCGAGTGTAGCCGCTAGAAGCAGCAGAGTGCGTTTGTGAGGCAGCATTGTTGAATGCTGAATGGTGAACGGGGAATGCTCACACACAACACGCAACGCTAATGGCTACTGTGGTTTGGGTTCGGAAGTGGGGTTATTAGGAGTTCATTTTGATGTGTTAAAGAGAGAGAATAGAGTTGAGTGAGGGAGTGAGAGTAACCAACCAAACACAACCTTGAAAATGAAAATGAAAATGAAAATAGAAATAGTCCAGTCCGGTGAGTTGGAGGTCCAGCTGTGTGCTTATGAAGACACATCACCAAGAAAAGAACCCTAGCTGTCTCTCTCTCTCTCTCTCAACTCCCTAGTCAACTTATCTCCTCCCTTTCTCTTTTCCTTCCTTTTGTCTTTTCCTTTTCTACCACTTCATCTCCTCCCCCCAAACATCACATTTAATTCTATAACATACTTACTGCTACTTATCATTTTTATTTCTTTAGATAACTCCCATTTTCCCAATAATCTTTAGAAATCTTCACTAAGTATTCCAATAACTCTATTCATGTATTGTTATGAAAAATATTTCCATACCGACGCTAATTCTTCATTTATGATATGTTTTGGTGATTTCTTGAGAAAAGAACACCCACCGGTCGATTAATAAAAAGGAATGATGTCATACCAGCAGGCAACAGCCAAATTGCCATCTGTTACCAAAATAAAAAGACCCAATTTGCCATTTGTTGTATAGATATTGTAGGATTCTAGATGTATAACAATACTGTTATTTGCTTCACAAAACCTATTATTATTGTTACCCTCACAAGCTACGCTATTGAATTATCCTTTATGTGTTAACTTACTGCCCATCGCAGCCAAAAGTTGGTGAGTCCATTTTTATAACTTTTTAGTTTAATCAGTTCCGATTAACATAAATTTGTTTATCTGAGTAACAAGCTAGCTTTTTCAAGTTCATTTTTTTGTATACAAAAAATAGATGATTTAATATTTTTATTTAATTTTACCAATATTTTCACTCACACAATCTAATATTGTATTAGTTAAACATGTTAACTACCTAACTTATGAGCCAACATAAGCTCAACACAAATCAATAATTTCACGAGTCTATTTATTTTGCTAGCCGAGTCAGTGCCCCAATTTGACTTATTTATTAAAGCAACTTTAAATTGAGAGAAAAAAAAAAGTCACGTTATTTTTAATATTTTTTAATTAATAAAGTAAGACTGACTGTATATCTAATCCACCCCATGTAGGAGTAAGTCTAGTTCTAAAATTCTAATTAGTATAGAAGTTCAATCTGAACCGAATATGTGGTTCAATTTCATTGCGATAGATTATTCATTCTTAAAAATATTTACAAGAAATATAATTAAAACATCAAAATATTTTTAAATAATTAATTTATTTTATTTGTCTAAGAAAATAATTTTTTTTCTATTTAGAAATTTAATATTACGTTAATTGATTTTTTTGCTATTCATATAAAATATTTATATTATTTGAATAGTTGAAAGATTGAAAAATTCTTGCTAAGACCATCTTTAATTAACGCTACACCAATTGTTTATCTCCATCAGTAAAATATGAATGAAAACCAATAGAAAAAACACTAGGACTCGTATTCTGGTGAAGGAAATGTTGCTTGATTAAACAATCGTCACTTAAACTCTTCAAAGAAATGGATTAAGTAACCCCTGTTATTTATGCTCTAATAAAAAATAAAATAGGAAATTTAATAATTAATTTAATAAATTAATTAAATTCTTTTATCTATTTTTTCAGTTCAACAGCTAAATAAATACAAAAATATTTAATATTACTTATTTATTTATTTTTTTCTGTAAGAAAGGGCTAAAAGATCTAAAACAAGCAAACAAATTAAGCTACGGTCCTAGAAAATCATAAATTGTTATACTTAAGAAGGGGATAAGAAAAGATGAAAGAACATCAAATTGAAATATAAAAAATAAGAGATCAAGTTCTGTTAGCATCTATGCTTAAAAAAAAGATAAATAAAGATGAAGGAACATCAAACTAAAATATAAAAGATAAGAAATCAAGTTCTAATCAAACAGTCAGCATAATAATTAGTCTTTTTATAAATATGAACAAATCCAACAAAGTTAATAAATTTTAAAGCCTTTTTAGTATTATAAATTAAATAGACTTATTTAGATTTTATTAGTAAGTATGTGAAAGTTCCAAATAAAAATTTAATATTTTTATTTAAAATTATGTTAATATAAATAAAAATTATAAGTAGCATATTTTATGTTTTTTAATAAAAATTTACTTTTAAATTTCTTTATCCTATTTATTTATATTCTCTTATTTCTAATTTTAAAAGCTTGTGATTTGGCTTTAATGGTTATTTGTTTATTCATAGTTTTTAATATATACATATATTCAAGGGAGAAAGATCTTCTTATATTAAAGTAAGTCTAAAAATTCCTACATTTTATGTGAGTTTTTTTATTTAACTTAAATTCAACGACTAGTGAAGTAATAAATTATAATTCGTTAGATATAAATTAAATGAAAGACTTATATTAGGTATAAGAGTTTTTAGACTTATACCAGTGTAAAAAGAACCTGCACCATATTCAAGATTTGGATTTTTTTTAATTGTAGCAAAACTAACATTTTTTTATTTTTATTTAAGCAAAAATAGATTCGCTTAAATGAATTTCAAGTTTTTTCCTTCAACTTTCTTTTATTTTTCCTTTTTTTCTTAACCTCTATATCTAACTTTCTTCCTCCTCCAACTCCCTCTTTTGTTATTCCACTCATACTCAATTCTCTCTTTTTTCCACTCACATACTTGTATAAAAAAAATTGGTAGTAATTTTTTTTATCATATTTTCTACTTTTATTTAAACGAGTTTATTTTTACATAAATAAAAATAAAAATAAAACATGATGTTCTCGTCACAATAGAAAAAAATATGAATCTATACATTGATATACATAATAATATACATATTTTAAAAATAATTTGCTAATTCATATGAATAATTATTCTTTATTACTTTATTAATAATAATCACGTTTACACAATTTTTTTTTTATAAATTTACTTTCTTAACGTGTGTATGGATTATGGGTATAAAATTAAAAAAAAAATTAATAATCTTATTTTTGAGATATAAAAATAGATATTTTTAATATTATTATTATTATTATTATTATGTGTTTAAATTCAATTTAAAATACGAAGTTAATAATTTTTGTCTTATTAATTTTTAATTAATTATGTGTATAAATAAAAGAATATTTTTTATATTTGTTATAATTTTTTTCATTTTAGCCTTGAATTTTGTTGAATCTAATACTTTTGATATTATGATAACATAGGTGAATAAAAAAATAGTAAATGTGATAATTTTATAATTAATTATTTTATCATAAAGATCTGAAATATTTAATTTGTAAAAATTAAAATTAAAATATTATAAAATTGAATTTATTTATCTAGGTTGAGTAAAATGAAAATTGTAAATGAGTGTGTTAATTGTATAATTCATTGCGTCTAGTAACGATGGAAGCATTAAATATGAGACGATGTTTATTAAAGTTAGGAATTTTATTTTTATTAATTCCAACAGCTTGGTGTTCTCCCATTTATTGTTTTTTCAAAGGTTCATCGACACAAGCATTAGCATTATACAATTAATTTTACGGTTTTGAAAAAGCAAAAAAGTCATTCACGCCTCATGTGATTTCTTTTATTTTCTATTTTGTCTAATGGTTGGGTCTGTATCATTCCACGTCTACCACTATACAAAAAATTACTCGTCAAATTTGTTTATTATCTATCTAATACTTCATATGCAAAAATTACTGACTAAATTATGTGCATGATTCAGAATTTTAATATGTTTATGGATAATGAGTAACAAAAGAAAGTTTGTGATTAAATTTTTGCCAAGAACACTGTGTTTGCCTTTCTACACAGTGGTTCGTCACATATAATAACATCACATACATCAAGTAATAATACTTCTGAGTTTGAGAATGAAGGGTTCAAGGGTCCACCCTTTCCCTTTCTTGCATCCTTCCTTCCCCACCAAAAGGGCTACACTTCAATTCTTAGAGGAGATTTCTATATATTTATTAGAAGGCAAATTCACTATCACTTTTGAATGATTTTCTCAGTTCACCCTATTCTTAGACAGTTAGCCATTTGATGTTGAGGGTGATATAAACCGGTAACTAATCTAATTCCTAATACAACCGATGAAACTAACCCGTACGATTCAATTTTTGAATCTATGGTAGTAAACAAAATCAGATCATCATATGGCAGACGACAAATATTTAAGAAAAAAAGGGGTTTGCACATGGAAGAATCTGGGTGCAATTAACCAGTGTCTCGTGTAAGGTTCTTGAGAGTTGTTTCACAGTGTACTTTGTATTTGCTTAGGCATGTCATCATCTTCCTTTGGGTACTTATCTGCCGTAGCATATTGTTGTTATGACAAATTCTTCTTGTTTTTCCCCAGTTTTGTCTTCTTGGAGTCGCCACGTATCTCTCCTAACACCATCCTTAATATTTTGTTTTGGTTTGTTTTGCTTCAGCTGTTGTCCTAGATATGACTGTTGTTTGGCACATTAGGATTTCTTTTGTCACATTGGTTTGTTTTGTGCCAAATCTAATGCTAATCTTGCGACATTCACGCTTGTCATTTGTTTTCTCTTTTACCCGGATATTACTTTTTTTCTTTCTCTGTAAATACTAATGGATTTTAAATAATTGTGAATTAGAATGTATGTAGATTAGAATAATATTTTTAAACAATTTAATCTAAATATTTTTTACACTATCATTCAATTATAGATTATATATTATATTAAAATTTTATTAATTTCAGTTATAATTAATTCAAAAAATGTATTCGTTATATATTCTAATCATTGATAATATAGAATAGGGTATGTTAAATCCGCATTATAAACAGCTAGTGTTTGAATTAATTTTTAATTTACAAACTATTTAAGTTAAAGATAAAAATTTAAATTTACAAGTTGAAAGAACTTGATATTTCTACATTTTTAAAGTTTAAAAGTTATTTTTAAAATTCTTAAAGTTGTAGCTAAATACTTGATATTTTGGGTCACCAATTTGGATATAGAACGATCAATAA